GATCCATTTTATTCTCTTCCGTCCCAAAATTATTATCATTCAATTTCGCCCCTTGCTACCGTTCCATTAATATAACTATCACCTCATATATCTTCATAGCATCATCAGCATTTTGACTGCCACATCCAAAGTAATCACAGTCTACTTCTAATTTCTCCCAATCCCCCACTCATGTATGGCCCAACATCTTGAGTTTCCCTCCCAAATAGTATCTGGTCTCTACCACCCCGTGTACTCCACCATCCAACACATAAAGCGCTCCTCTCCACGTCCATCTCTCCACTCTCCAAGATTTCCCAGAACCTTGCTTTGCATCGTTCTCTCATGTAATTATCTTCGATGGAATTCAAAAGATCGGCTGATATTGGTAGCCATGCCTGTAGAGCATCGAGGGGAAGATTGGGTAATGCATCAAGTAGTGTAAGCATGAGGTATGCCTGTTCAGAGAGAGGCGCCTGACTATCTTGTTGGCTGGCGGTGTCTCTTGTATATACAGATTGTGGTAGTGGCGATGTAGGCGCATGAGTTGCACGGTGATGGAGCATTTCTAGAAGGGTCTCGGCTAGCATTGGCTCCGCGGTCGACAGTGGTGTAGGCGGAGTAGTAATGTGTATTAAAGACTTAAATGCGTAACGGAATTGTCTAGGCGACAGATTGTTCGGAAAGGAATTAAAGAGAGCATCAACATAAGTTGGTATGAATCTAGCGGTCAATTTTGTGTTCTGAGGAGCTGATAGTACTGCAAGAACAGCGCTGTGAGCAGCCTCAAAGATTTCCAAGAAGCCAGGATGAGCTGTTGGATTGAGATAAGGGGCTGCCACACTAATGATCAAACTTTCGTTGTCAGGCGGACTAAGAATATTTGTCAAGTGCTCGCAAGTATTAAGATAAAATAGATCATGATTGCGCTGTAAAGGATTATTTGGAATTTCGCCAGCTTGCGTGGGGTATATAGCTTTGAGAAGCTCTCTTGATTCGAGAGGATAATTAGATAGGATGTCGATAGAAGACAAATTAACGAACACATATGCAGAAAAAGAATTCGAGCCAAGTCGAGACGAAATAAAGTGAATGTTCCCAAGAATGATAAGCGTTTCCGAAGCTCCTATCGGGGCAAGGCGTCTTGTCGATAGGATAGGGTCAAGCATAGTTCTTCCCATAAGACCTTGCAGAATAACAACGGTAGCAAACATAGCGCTCTTCAATACCTGCCACAAGACTGGTGCGGTCATTTGGAGGGTTTCGGGAGTTAGAAAAGTCGCCTCCTCAGATGGATCAATTTCCGATAACTTGTTCCTCTTCCAGCCTTCTAGAAGTCTACCCGAGAACGAAAGAAGATGCTCTCGAATTTCTATCGCAAGTAGAGAGTTGGTCATATTTTCGATTGCATATGCGATAAGCCTCGAAAGTGGCCCCATGGACGACAGTATCGGGCTTGATGCCTGCTTTTGTAGTTGTAGAAAAGAGGAGGATTTGGACGACCAATCGAACTTATCTCCCGGTACTTGCTTGACATCCGCATCGATGTATTGTAAGAAAATACCGTCCTGGTAGCCCTCCAACGCAGTCACCGACCGTACCATTATCATGACTAAACTATCATAATTCAGACCCGCACGCACTCCGTCCGATAACAGGGGGAATGCGTGATTAAGAGCTAACACAACAGATTCTGCTGCAAGAATCCCATCTCTCATTGGATTCTCCAGTGCTAAGTTGGCCGCCGTTACTAATGCTCGCTCGAGTGTGCTCCTGAGCCCGCTAGAGAGCCCATGCCTTCCTCCATTTTCCATTCCGAGTAACACGCCAGCGATCACGAGAAGATGCTGCCATCTTGGCGACCTTTCATCCGCACCTTTGATCACTGATCGAGCCCAATCATCAGAACCAATCCCGCCTCCTTTCCGAGGTTGGTATGCATCGTACGGTGGATGCTCGTTACGACTTTCTACTTCGTTTTTGCACACCGTAATGGCAGCAGTATTGAAGACACTGATGATTCGGAGGCAAATTCGTAGACCATCGGTATTATTCCATATAGCAGGCGCGGTAAGAAGATGCGATGTTAGAAGGCTTATGTTCAAAGGATTCGTAAGAGTGGTAAGGAGAGAGGTAGTTGTCCCAAGGATTCTGTCAGTTTGGGCTGGGTCAGGCACGCCTTGGTATGCGCGTAACACAGTCGTAAGAAGTCTATCTGCCGGCATCTTGAACTACTCTAATTATTTTGGCAGGACCTCAAATCATTGTGATGCTCGTATTGAGAAATAATATTCAATTATTAAGGGTGATATGTGATGGCTGATGTGTTAATGATGGAATGGAGTTCAACAGCCGAGGTTTATTAATTCAGCCTTGTGTTGCGCACTGAAGGGTTCACGAGGCTAAATGTAAAGTATAATTTCTAGATAGAGTTACACTGCACTGTCGCATCGCGTTAAACGACTACAGCTTCCATACATCCCGTTCCCTTACGATGGGCTTTTCGCCCCAATAAATTATGCCCCTTCTGAAGTGAGTCGCATTAGGACTTTCAAAAGAATACTTATGCTAATTCAGGTTTGCAGTACTCGGATCGATAATCCGGCGCCTCTTGACTATTCCACGCCGCCGTTTCCATCACTCTACTGGCCTCTCCATGCTAAACCTGGAGTCCCAAATTACCTATACTATGCTCATGACATTTGGCGATTCACTTTACTATGGACACTCATTGCGTACGGAATCACGCATATTGCCGCAGCTGTTTGTGCCGTTGCAATGCAATTGGGAAAGGGGAAAAACGCCTGGCAATATGCTTGGATCATACCACTGGTGTATGCTTTAATAGGTGGAATTGAAGCCTTGTTGGCAGGAAGTTTAGTTGGATTGATGTGAGTATTGTCTCGTGATTCACGTAGGAGTTTTCTTATTCTTGCTAACCTGTCACTCCTAGACTCGGTGCCATTTACAATGCCGGATATTTTCAGATGTCAACATGGATTCCGTTCATATGGGCATTGATTAATGTTTTAGTCTTGATTATATCTTCTTTCTCAATACAGGGTGGTCTATGAGGCACCATATATTTTAATGATGCATACATCATTTGGGAGATGAAAGTAATCGTGAGCGGGAGCTCTATCCATCTCTGAGCAATCAGGACTTGAGATTTGGATCTGGTTCTTTCGGCTCGATCTTTTTGATGATTTTCGCTGGATTGCCAGCTACGACATGGAAATCGGGAACATCTTTCGTCACAACACTCCCAGCACCCATGGTACAACCTCGACCGATGGTTACTCCTGGGCAAACTGTAACGCCGCCTCCGAACCACTGGGAAACTGTTAGCATCGATGATACTTATCAATAGTACACAGGGATTGAGCTGATGAATGTTATCGATATCGCGTAAACACTGTCAGAAATACGTACGCAGTCTTCTCCAATTGTTATGGGTGCCCCAAGCTCTGGGCCATTAACACCATTGCGAAGGAAAGGATCCAATGGATGCGTGGCAGCATAGAACGAACAGCTTGGCCCAATTAGAGTACGAGCTCCTATTGTGATTAGGCAGGTATCGAGAAATACGCAGTTAAAGTTGATGTAGACTCCTTTGCCAATCCTGTGGAGGATTAGTACTTTCTCAGAATGCGGTTTTACAGCTTGAGGCCTACCTCAGATTGATTCCATAGTCCACATTGATTGGGCCATCAATATATGGTTCATCTCTTAGGATAAGGGAGTCTTCTTCATCTGTGGCTCCCACTGGAGGAAGAGGAGTCTTGTCATTGATGATACTGGTATTGTTAGGTTTCGCACTGCCACTCAGCTAGAAATGAATGCCTACTCTCTCCACATCTCTACCAGCTTCCGTCTTGGGGCATCAGCGGCATTGTTGAATCTTTTGCAAGCCCAATGACATCTTATAGAAGATCAATTATCAGCTGTATTCAAGGAAGTGACTCTGTTCAAAGGAGTATCTGATGGGTGATTTATTCCTGTTTGTCTCTTACCTATTTCGCTTTTCCATGAGGTTTGGTACGAACGCATAATAGAGCTCCCCGTTCAGCATCTTAGATTCATTTTCAACGGGGTCAATGGCCTCCATGATTAGGTTATGATGTGGAAATGTGGAATTTACAGGTAGTCAAAGGATATCCAAATGATGGGGTGCCCGGGTCAGAGATGAAATCTGTCAAAACTGGGATCTTAAGTGAGCATGTCATGTCTTAGCTTTCTGACTGCCGAGCCTCTATATTCACCTAAACCAACAGCTCCACTTTGCCTGACAGTTGGAAAGCGTTTCCAGGACTTCGTAGGCGGAATACCTTCCTGATCTACTTACGGGACTCGGTCCTCGGAAGATACGAGATCATGGTGGGGGTGGCTGAAAGAGGGGGCTTGGCTATTTGATAGAAAAGGAGAATACTCGAGTACCTATCGTAGATAGAGTTTATACACAACTTGGAAAGCATAATGGACAGTAACTAGATAGGTATGCACAATTCAAGCATTCAATTCTCTACTGAATATTCAATGACTATCACCCAGGTAGGTAGATTATATCTGAGAAATATCTAGAGTCTAGAGTTATTTGAGCGGTCAGGACACCTAGGTAGTGAGTGAGACTTTGTTGTACGGAATGTTGTCACATGCTTCTTTGTTAAGCTGACTAGGACGTACCAATGGATATCGAGGTTTCCAAGAACCTTTAAGAAAAAGGTAACAATCCCACCTCAAAATCTCATCTCATTCTTCACCAAGAACAATATGAAGAAGCATTTAAAAAGGTTATGTACGAATAAAGGGAATCGTATTTGATTGTCCCCATTTCTTATAATTTTTCGTAATTTCGTTTCTGTTTAGTTATTATACTGGATCTCCGTGCTTATATATATTACTCAACCCAGCCTGAAAAATATTGAATTAACCACCAAGCATCAAGCTTCAAACTTCAAGCTTCCATTGCACTCATTTGATTGTTTGCGACTAGTATCTTTGTGATTATTGCTATCATAATCATGTCTACAGATGATACTACTAATGCCATTCGAGGATCAGCGTCAGCGCATAGCTCACCCGAACAATTGAAGAGCACAGCGAGCATACCCGGCGCAACTCGTCGACGTCCATGGGACGTAATACAGAACGGCGGCGTTGCCCCTCGAGCGCGAGTCGGGCCCAATCGAGAACAATTCGCAGAGATACCTAGCATCGACGAAGCCATCACTCAATTCGAGAAGCAATTCTTTCCCGGTCAACCTAAATCTCTGTCTGGAATTGCTTTGCGATCTTTCCTCGTTGGTATTGTCCTTACGATTTCTATGGCCGCTACCTTCTACCTCTTCTTCGTTACCAATTCGATATTCTGGCGCATCCCCTTCTTCATCTCCTCTCTGGCAATCTTCCATTTCCTCGAGTTTTGGACCACGGCGAGATACAATACCCCGGAAGCATCTATCTCCTCATTCCTCTTCAGTGGCAACGGTTCTGCATACAACATTGCGCACAGTGCTGCCGTCACCGAATTTCTCATCACCAATACCTTTTTCCCCCATGGATCTTCATACCGCATCTTTGGTCTCCAATTTCCCCCTTCCATATCCTTGTTCAGTTCCCGATCCCAAAACTCGATTCTCGTTCTCGGTCTCATCCTCATAATCCTAGGCCAAACGATTCGATCCGTAGCCATGGTACAGGCTGGCAGGAGTTTCAATCACATTGTTCAGTTCACTCGATCGCGTTCACATACACTCGTCACAACTGGTTTATACGCATGGTTGCGCCATCCCTCGTATTTTGGATTCTTTTGGTGGGGATTGGGTACACAAATGGTCTTGGGAAATTTCTATTGTTTTTGGGGATATACGCTTGTTCTGTGGATGTTTTTCAATAGGAGGATTAAGGGGGAAGAGGCTTTGTTGATTAAGTTCTTTGGGGATGATTATGTGCAGTATAGGCAGGTCTCGTGGGTGGGAATCCCTTTCATCTAGATTTACAGTGTACCTAATGGATGCAAATCTTGAAATCTATTCATGTTCATATTGGATGTGAACAATCAGTTGTATGCTCGGAAACGTATGGGATGGTAGTATATCAATTTCTGAAGGGTTTGCTGTATTTTGCGTCACTCGCCGATCGCGTTGAGAGATGATAAAAAGTGGGCAAACCTTGGAATCCATTGATCTTGTAAGGGAGCATTTGAATGATTTCTATGGCTTGCATCGACTGGGTAGCTCAAAGGGAATGTTTGTTCACCACTAGTATCTTGGGATAAAAGTTCCGTACCATATTAATGATAGCCAGGCATTGTGACTTCTCTATTTTTGTGTCTAATTGTTACAGAAAGAGTAAGTGTAGTAGTTACCCGTGCTGGGAGCCGCCAGGCTCATAGAATTTTCATACTACTTGTTTCTAAAGACTGAAGTAAGCCGCTGTTAAAATAGCCAACATTTCTGTGATATGGACTGCCATTATTTGACCTGCTTGCTAACACTCCCGTATTTAGCTTGCCATGCGAAGAAGTAAAGTAATGCAGCAAGGGGTTGTCCAACCAGGGTGAAAGATACCCAAAAGATGCAGTTTCCTATAATCTTGCCATTTATGCCGTTCATTTTCTCCAACGGGGTCGTGATAGCAATGAGTGGTAGCTGTGCCATCATGCCAATGAATGCAACGCCTAAAGATTGTTAGCAGATGACAGCATAAAATCACACTGTGAGCCTACCAATCATGTTATGTGTCGGTACGCCCACCATCAATTCATGGAGAATAGCGGAGAATGTAAATACCGCAACACTCGCTGAGTATGGACTCCAGCCTCTGCCTACGAGGGGTGAGAAAACATGTCGTTTCATGAATTGATAAACAGGCTTGTTCCAAGTTCTCCAATATGTTCCCACGCTGGGCGAGTTCCACCAATCATCATAGAAGTTCCTATCCCCAAATGTTGTGACCTCTGCAAGAACGTTCAAAAAAGATTGGAATAATGCGAAGAATCCTGCTAGCCATATGACCAGAGAAATCGTAGACAACTTCATCAATCGTTCGAGGATAGAAGGAAGATCTAGAGATGCCATCTTATCTAAGGAGTTCTGAAGAACAGGGGCTGCATACTGTGCGCTAGCAACCCATATGAAAATACTCAGACCAAAAACTTCTGCCAACCTCTTACCTACAAAAACCCATCTAATCTTGTTTGTCCGAGGATAAACGGGTTGGTAAACCAATGTTGGAACCCACCAAAAGTATGTCAAGTTCTTCAGCGTGATATTCTGTGGGTAAGGACATTTGTTGTATATTTCTGGCAATGCATCTTCCTCTTTACTAGAGGGGTGGAGATAAGCATGTCGAAGATCGCGGCAGGTGAATGCATAACTATACGTTTTCAACCAGACAACGATTGCGTGTGCCTCGGTTATTGTGCCTATAAGGGGATGATGTATGAAGAAGTAGACAATCATGGATGTGATGAGTAAACAGAGCGTTATGTTCAGTCCGTGTATCCAAGCTATTACTTTCCAAGTTGAATGGAACTTCTCATGTTCGGCCTGGGTAGCAATATAGCTACCACCTGGCGTCGCTGTTCCAGCTCTCTTTTTGCTTCCCTTTAGTGAAGCTCTTGCTTGTTGCGCGGCGGCGAGTTCGACAACGTAGGCGACAAAAAGATGGCATGGAATTATAAAGTAAAGAGCAGCCCCTAGAATGAGATCTTGTCTGCGATAATCGTGACATCTTAAACATATCAAAACTCCATACTATCAAGAATTGTTAGCTGCATTCGATGAAGCCAAGGGTTGAATGTGAAAGCTAAGCTAAAAATCATAACATCGGCGTTGTCAAAATATGCAGAGAAACGAGGTATTCAGACTAAACTTCGTGATTCCTCTTTCCCCTCTTAAGCACCCGATTCTTCTTTCAATTGAGAAATATATGACTGGGAGGAAATATACCTTTCGAATATTTTCCAACATCAATCGCAGATTTGAGATTAGTAAAACAAGCACCATCAAATTTCTGAATCCAAGAAAGCTAGGTGCCGCATCGCTTTCATGGCTAAGACATGATGTTCGAGGTTGAGAATGAACAGCAGCGACATGTCTATACTTCTTTTGTGTATATTTTCGAAGTGAATCGGACGTATGTTGTTGTGTGAGAGGTTTTGGGAAATCCGCGATGCTGATGTTGACCCTCTTCTTCCCGTGTGCACCATTGACATGTGAAAGTGTAGAACGTCTGATGGTTGGAGAAATATCTGCCACACTCTCCGTCCCAGTTACTGTGGCATTTTCAGAGGTCATCATTGCGAAGATCGCATGGAGCCGTATTCAAATTCGAGCTGCTAGTATTTGAACATGTACCGAGTAATGAATGGATCTCTGGAATGATTGATAAACAATGTTCCAAGAGAACGAAGGGAGATACCAAGGGGAAAGCACAAGGATGAAGAAGCAATATGCGCAATTACCCGATAACTTGAATGATATTTGAAGCTGTGAAAGTAGGAGAATCAATTGATCAATGGGAGTGTAATGAAAGGAAAGGTGTTTGAATATTTACCGTAGACAATTATTGTAGCCGTAATGAAAGTAAATTCCTCACTGGCCAAACCCCTCCCGCAGTCAATTATTGGCTGAGAATGAGTGATGATAGACCCAAGACCGCGCAAACTTAATTGATATACGAGTAGCGGTCTTACAAAAGTGTAGGACGGTCGAAAATTGAGGATTTATCAAGATCTTCAAGTATCGATAATAGCAAACATAGTCTTCGAAGATTTGGGCAGATCTGGAGAGAGTCAAGCACAAGACATGATTTGGTGAAGACACCGACCGTACCATAAGAACGGCAATGGCATTCCAAGTTACCTATCTTTCTCATGAGCCTTGCCTTGCCCTTATCGCCCTTATCGTCCATGTGGAGGCATCAGAGGCTATAATCATGATTACTAAGCAGGCTCATCGATGAATCATTGTTCCGTTCCGTGTCATCGCGAATCCTTGTTCATCAAATGTCAAAGTCGCGACCATTTTCTGAAAGCATGACCTCTTTGACTTAACTTTATTTATTCACCTAGTCTTCCAAAGTTCCAAACACATGATCCCGAATCAAACTCAACGGACCTCGCCGAAGAAGAAAGTAGTCGTTTGATCAAATATTATTGAAGGAAATGATGCACTGATAAAAATGGCATACGAACCTCGAGAGTATGGAGGTGGACGGGATCGAGAAAGGGAAGGAAGAGGAAGAGGAAGAAGAGATGATGGAGGACAGGAAGAGGGGAGTGGTGAAAGGGACTTCGTGAGAGGGAGAGGTCGTCGTAAGTACAATACTTTAATTTTTTTTAAATTGTCGATTAGGGCAGGCTGGGAAGCTCATCTATATCTTCTCGTGTCTTGAAAACTCTTGATTTACTAATTCTATATAGGTCCTGTCACGGATTATAGCTCTACTATGGTTCATTGGATGCGTAATCGTCAGCCAAGGTATAAAGGTGGTTACCAAGGTGAAATGGAAAGACCCAGTCCAAGTTACATGATAGATGTGAGTATTCTTAAACCAGTCGCATAGGCTAATTTTGATGCTTTTGGTCTAATTATTTATAGATGTTACCACCGCTGGCAAGAATTCATAATGCAGCAGATTCGGTTCCAGGGAGGCATTTACATTCGTCACTCAACAAAATCAAGCACCCTGTGAATGTGGTAAGATGGACACCAGAAGGTCGACGATTACTCACAGCCTCCAGTAGTGGAGAATTTACTCTATGGAATGGCGCAGGTTTCAACTTCGAGACAATTATGCAAGCACATGATGTTGCTATTCGCGCTTTGTCTTATTCTCATAGTGATGACTGGTTGATATCAGCTGATCATGATGGAGTGATCAAATACTGGCAACCGAATTTCAACAACGTCAAAGTCATTCAAGGACATGATGACCCTATAAGAGATCTTGCATTTAGTCCAAACGACTCAAAGTTTGTCACGGCCTCGGATGACTCTAAGCTAAAGATTTTTGATTTTGCTGGCGGTGTTGAGGAGTCTATTCTCTCTGGACATGGATGGGACGCGAAAAGTGTTGACTGGCATCCGACTAAAGGATTACTCGTTTCTGGATCAAAAGATCATCTTGTCAAGTTATGGGATCCGCGCAGTGGCCGGTGTCTGACGACTCTCCATGGACATAAGAACACAATCACAAAAACAGTTTTTGAACCAGTACGAGGTCACTGCTTAGCCACTTCAGCTCGAGACCAAACGGCACGAGTATTCGACTTGCGAATGATGCGCGATGTATGTCTGCTCAAAGGCCATGATAAAGACATTTCTACCCTGGCATGGCATCCAATTCACCCTTCACTTTTGAGCACTGGCGGTGCTGATGGGTCTCTTTTCCACTACCTCCTAGATGAACCAAACAATCCTGCTGGAACGGAGCCTTCCATAGCTCCTTACGATAGTCCAGACCCCACTACTACACCGGCTCAAACCATCTATCCAGCTCATAAATTAACCTACGCTCATGAATTCGCTATCTGGTCACTTGATTGGCATCCTCTCGGTCACATCTTAGCATCAGGTTCCAATGATCGAATCACTCGATTCTGGACACGTGTACGTCCTGGTGACACAGATACATTCAAAGACCGCTATCATATTGGTGACTCAGCTGCCGAGGCGCAAGGAACCTATGATCGTCGCGGCGGGCGACGCCAGCGTCAAGAGGAAGAAGATCAAGAAGCTGAAGACGAAATGGAAGGATTAGTCGATCAGAAAATGCCTGCAAAGGTACCCGGTTTCGCCACAGGAATACCCGGTCTGCCATTACCTGGTATGGGAATTATCCCTGGTATGAATCGTGTTCCCCCACCTCCACCTCCACCTATGCTCAGCGGAGGTAATATGCCACCTCCACCTTTGCCTGGAAATATAGATGCCAATACCTTGGCAATCATGATGAAGGCTGGTTTGCCTCCTCCAGGGGCACCGGGCATGCCACCCCCACCACCAATGCTCCCACCAAACTTTCAACTCCCACCTGGCTTCGTTGTTCCTCCACCTCCCCCAGGTATGCCAATACCTGGCTTAGATAGTACAGACCTATCAAGCGGCAGCGGTGGAATTAGAAAGCGGGGACCGTTGCCAAGCCAAGAAGAAAGTTTACAAGCGATGCAAAGACAGGGAAAATTTAGACAAGCACGATAGTGAGTATTTGATATCTGGGGACTGAAACTCGGACTGTATACCAGAATATAGCATTTTCGGGCGAAACGAAGCATGGGGCGTTTGGGCGAATTGTAATGTAGTCACGTTGATAATTTTTGAATTGTCTTTATTCACATATGTGCACCCGCGAGAACAAGCGAGATGTGTTTCTTATCAAAGTTTGAATCTGCTTGGTGATACAATTGAAGGGTATTAATGTTATGGTATGTGAATAGAAACGCAAATTCGAAAAAAAGAAAACTATCTTTAGAAAAAGCAAACGCCATGCTATGCAATCCCACCAGAAATGCTCGCCGATGCTGTATATATGCTGCAAATCCCCGCCCATTACATGCCAAATCTAAGAAGTGTGTCTTGGACTCGTCCTCCTTGGTGCACTATCCTTTGCAAATGCCTTCTGTCTATCCGAGTAATCTTTAATAACTAACGCACACATCATGTCATCACACAATCTCTTCCTCCTCTGCGCCGGCAACTTCGTCATGAATTCCAACCCACTAGCCCTCTCCACCATCTCAACGGGTACCTCAAAATCCGTCAACGGCTTCTCATTAGGTATCCTCGCATTAGGTAACACAAACGCACCAACTGCTACTGGACCTGCTGTAGTACCATCTTCCGCAAAGATAACCTTGTAGAAATGTGTCGGTACAGCAATATTTGGTGGATTTCCAATAACCTCATAAGTAACCCTCCATTTCCCATCCGCTGGATCCCGTTTCGGCAAATATAAAGGTCCAGTAACGATTCTCACACTTGGGTATCGAGTCGTAAGTCTGCGACAAAAATCCTCAAAATGCGCCCAGTAATCGCGGTTGAATCCTTCTCCTACTTGCGGACACATGTTTGTGAGGAAAAAGGTATCGTTCATGGCTTCTTGACTCCATTTTGCGTCTGCGGCAGGTACTTGGTGTCCGCGATCGTAACCAGATCGAACATAGTCCTTCAATTTACCGCGGAATTTTTCGGGGACAGAGGGGTCTTCGACAAAATAGGAATGTTTGCGATCGCCGTTTTGAGTTGCAAGTGAGGCGGGAGTTATATGTTCTGCAACCCAAGAAGGATTTCGAAGTCTTCGATCGAATGAAGATATTAACGCATTTCTCGTCGCTAGATCTGCGACGGGTCCTGGAAATCCGTATTGAAAAAGACCTGCGGGGTCGACTGGTGCTATGACATCTTTGATTATGGATTGGCCGATTGGGAGAGGTACTGGCGAATGCGCGGAAGAAGTAGAGGATGCTGTGACTGCTGTTGAGCTTGCGGCTGCTTGGATTTTCTTTTCAGATCGTGTGGAATACATGGCGGCGGTGATACCGGCGCCTGTGGCTGCAGAAACGCCTGCTATAATTGCTAAGGTAGTTTTGGACATGACAGAGAGAATCGAGCTTGACGAGAGCTCGTACCGAATGGAAGAGGGAGATTATTTATGGGATTTATTTTGGGGGTGATCAATGTGTGAGTCTATGATCACGATGTCGATATTTCCGCGTGAGCTTTTTTTTTAGAACGAGGTTTCTTCGTGTTGATGTCAGTTGAACTTTCCTGACGTGTCTCGGAAAACTGTCTCGGAAGCCCAGAGTTTTTCCGAGGGTTAGATCTACAACAATCAAATCACGCAGTGTTTGATTACTAAACTTACAATAGTTAGTAGTATGAAATAAATCCTTGGATACTTTTCCAGTTATGAGACTATTCAGACTTTTAATTCTCTGAATTGAAATGGAACAATTGAATCATTGAAGAGCTTCATTAGTGGTCAATTCCGGTCAGTTTTTCTCTCACGAATAAGCAGTGTATGAATAAGCTAATGTTTATGAAAAGCCATGCAATTTTTTTGGTCTATCTAGTTCTCTTTACTCTCTCCAAGCATATTATGCTAAAAACAACGTGTTAAGAAATTGATAATGTACAATAGTCTCTGGGACTTTTCCAATCCCTACTTTCGAATATACAATTTAGGGTTAGCTCCAAGATGACTGTGACCCCCGTATCCTTCGAATGTCAGCGTCTCATCCTTTTCTTTTCCAACAGATAGTCCCTTGACATTAAGTGACTTCTCACTATACTCTGTTTCAAATGAAGGCCAAAATGGCTGAGTTCTAAGACGATTCACGTTAGATTATTGAACCAAACACAGCGGAATTCTTATGACTTACGCTCCCAAGCCTGGAATATCAACAACGCCTCCGTCAGGGAGTCCGAGTGTGAAAGAGAAAAACCGGGTCGGATCACTTTTTTTGAGTTTAGTAAAATCCTCTACTACCGCCCCCGTGAAGTAAAGAGCTGCTGGCCTTGCAATTTCAGACACCAGTTGTGCATCAGGGAAGGCGCAAGAAAATCCCATAACCAAGGTCGATTTGTCAATTTTGAGCCAGCCCATTTGATGACCAAAATCACCATCAACGATTTGCATGTTGTATTTGTCTGCAACTTCTACGCAACGTTCGTTGTACGCAGGATCTTGGAGGTAGATTGAAAGTCTCTTTCCTGGGTGGTAGCGCTCCCAGACTCGTCGAATTGTCAACATGCTTGCATGCTGAACCTGGTTTCTTACTCGAATTGATGAACTTCCGGCGTGGCGTACACCGATTGGGCCAGTTCCAAAGGCAACAATCTTGTCAAACTTTACATCTTTGCAAAGTTCCTCGAAAAAGCTTTCGAATCGTCTACAGAGCTCAGTTTCCTCAAACTTCGCAATGGTCTCTTGAAAGCCTTTTTCGACTTGTTCGGGTTGAAGTTTTAATGGCTCATCGTATTGATGATTAAACAAATCCCAGTCATCTTTCTCTCTTTTGTATTTTGCGTTCAAAATACTAAAAATGACGTTAGTTAAAAACAAAATTGAAAATGATAAAAACATACTCGAATAGCATTCTTTCTGGTCGGTCAGATCCTTCCTTACCCAAATCTCCAGCCTTCGCAGCTTTCATCCGTGTTCCGAAAATCTGGACCCGGGCGGCTCTAGAAATGGAATGGGGTAGTGGAAAACAGTGATAGAAAAAGTTGGCACGTTGAATCACCAACTTTTCTCTCTCTTCCTTTCGCATGGAGTTGAGTGCTCTCCAATCTAGGCGTTTTTTATACAAGCCGTGCACATCTGGGTGAGGGTTCTTTTCGCCCTGCCAAAAGATAAGGTGTTTGGACACAGGATGTGTGGGAGTTGGCGCAGGGGTAGATTCTTCGTTGGAAGTGGACATATTGCTAAGCTTTAAAGTTAAGTAGAAGTAAGTCAATGTTCAACGAAGTGTCAAGAGACAACGGGTATCTACCAGAGTTTGAGGTCTGATTTTGAAAAGATGGTTGGTTGTTTGAGGTAGGTTCGTTGTTGAGGGTAGTTTGGTTGTTTAAGGTAGGTAGATTGTTTCAGGTGGGTTGGTTATTTGAGGTAGTTTAAGGTAGGTAGATTGTTTAAGGTGGGTTGGTTGTTGAGGGTAGTTTGGTTGTTGAGGGTAGGTTCATTGTTTAAGACAGGTAGATTGTTTGAGGTAGTTTAAGGTAGGTAGATTGTTTAAGGTGGGTTGGTTATTGAGGGTAGGTTGGTTGTTGAGGGTAGGTTGGTTGTTGAGGGTAGGTTGGTTGTTTAGGATAGGTTCGTTGTTTAAGGTAGGTTGATTGTTGAGGGTAGTTTGTGTGATTTGAAGCCGAATGATACGAAAAGTAGTTATTGTATTAGTTGTGGATTTTGATGATGTTTGTTGAAGAAGGAAGCAAGTCCAAATGGGGGGAACCGGGTCTATTTGAGCACCTCTGGAGGCGGGTTGAAGCCTTCAGATTTGTCATTTGGAGACAATTTCGAGTCACTACGATATCAAAATCACATCACCATGACTATACGATTCATTTCGAGTCACTGAAATACTACAATATCAAAGTCACATCATCAGGAATATACGGTTTATGTCGAGTCATTTCGATGACACAATTCACATGTATTGGATGATAGTTTAGGACGAGAACTCTACGTAAATGAGTAATTCGATCAATCATTCAGATGGTAGTCTTGGGATGAGAAAACTAATAATTGGATACTGAAGGCCCACCTTCCCCCCTGAGGACCTCGCCTAAGAACCCCTGGTGTCTAGTTCAGGCTGGGATCTGGGATCTATACAAGTCTCATATTGAGATTATATAGGGATACATTCAAAGACTCGAGTCTCGCCAGAACATTAAACCCTTATAGAATTGGTACACTTCTCAATAATCCGATTCTTATACAAAAATCTTTCTAGAATAGTCGTCTAATGCGTTCAAGACATCTACACCTAACTCCGAGAATCGACAACTGATCTCGAAGGATGCTGGGTAATGCATTTCGATTATGTGAGCTCGAGTAGAATAGCTGTCGCACTCTTCAAATTAGAATTAGATACTGAAGTACTATTCTTCCAAATGATTTTAGACATCCGGGCGGAATAGAATGGAATGGAGGAGTACATATCGTAGACACGCAATCAAGATAACGTAAGTGATATTTTCCACCTGTATATGCATCTACGCTACTGCGGCTCGTTCTTGATCTCGTAGGTGTTTTCTTATCTGAACCACATCGTATAAACAAACAAATCTTGACTCGAACAACAAAACAAAGAAAAAGCAATTACTCGATAGACATCATGGCCAATCAACATCATGGCCAATCAACATCGATGTCAAGGAGATGAATAATCTCGAGAGCTGCACGTGGAACCAATTGTCAAGGACAGCGGTGTGGCGGGATCAATATGAGAACCTTGATGGTTAAAAGGATCGAGTTAAGGTTCATAAGACTCCGCCTTGTCTATATTTTCTTTTTTCTCAATGACGAATTAAAAACTCGGGATTTAATGTGAATTTACATCTATTGACCAATCAGAAAGGATAGATGGATGCATCTATGATTTACCGGTACATGATTTATTTATGATTTAACCTTTTGGAGAAGATTGAATTCGGGTCTCTCTGACTTTCTTGTTGTCTTCTTGCACCAAGCCATCAAGGTCTTCCTAGGTAATTTTATTATTCTTCCTACTGATACGACAAGGTAGAGTAGCTTAATAATATTCATCGTGTATTCATTCTCATCATTCTTGTCATTGTCATTGTTATTGTTATTATTATTCGATTATCATTATCATTATCATCATCTTCTTCTTCTTCATTATTTCACAGTAACCTATGACATAAGACAATTCATTTCCTATAGCCGCGAAAATCTGTGAATATTCTGTTCGTCTTCTTCCTCTAACTCTTTCGCCCTTTCACTCTCTTACACGATTACTTTGTTACCTCCTTCAAAGATTGTTTGCTTCGCCAGTCTCACATTCACCTAAAATCCTAATATACTCTTGCTCCTTCCGAGACTTTTTCTTGTCTACTTTTGAACTGCACTTTGGATCATTTGGACACTCATAGCTACATCACCTCGATCTACATTAATCCCACTGCGACAACACATGCAACAATACCACCTTCAATACTACCTTCTGCAACAACATCGGGAATAAACTGCGACAGCCCATACAGTCAGGTTTGACCTAGTTCGACCTTGTGCCACCTTGTATTGGATACATTTTTGAGTTACTACTTGTATATCAACCCCGCAGACGGAGAGAGTGTTTGAGGAAGTAGGAATATATCATTATAAAAGTGGCATCACAAACCGTCAGTATGGAGGCAGACTCGTTGAGTAATGATATGAGAGGGTGGATCATGGCTATTATCAGTGGAATAGGTCAGTATAATACTCCGTGGTCCATGGACCGATATTTGATCAACTCTGACAACAGTTTTTAGCATGTGTCATTGGTAGTTGCATAATATGCATAGATCTATTGATTAGATATATCCCCAGCAAGAAGAATTTCAGGATACAAGATAACAATGCTTTCCTAGCTGCATCTTTAAGTTTGAGTTTTGGTGTAATGGTAGGTTCTATCTTTCATCCATTCGTCTACTTGTTTACTAACCATATATCTCTTTTGTTAGATATTCTCTTCGCTATATAGTATGCTCCCATCATCGAAAAAATATCTGATGGAGGGTGGTTATACGGCTCAGGCTGCTGCATGGACTCTTTTGGCTTGTTTCGCTGCAGGATTCATTGGCATACAAATTGTTTCGAGACTCATGCATCAATTTATCCCCTCGCATGTCTCACATTGCGATCATTCTCACAATCAAGATGCAGCGCATCACGACCACGACCACAACCACAACCACAGCCACAATCACCAAACCTTTGATGGCTTTGATGGCCACCATGATAATCATCTTCCACTATCGAAATCGAGTTCTCATGTAGCAGTCAATCAAGGAAACGGTGCGATGACGGAAACTACACCACTTCTCGCTTCACATGTCGGAGAGAATGGAAAGCCTTCAATTGAAGCTCTTGCACCACCAAATAAAGATTCTCAGTCAAGCAATCGCCGCCAATCCCATAATCTTACCAGGCGACCATCGCTCATGGTAGTTCATGACAGGGTGATGTCTTTTGTAAAGGATAGGAAGGCAAATTGTGATGAGAGTGGACCATGTTTTGGATATTCTGACCTTTGTGGACGAGAATGCTTAAAAACCCCCATGAGTACAAAAATTCCTTATCCGGCGCGAACTCCCACAGGCACCTTGTCAACCCGCTCTCATTCTTTCACATTACCAGAAGAAGATGAAGAAGTGGCTCCAGATAATTCAGCACAATTACTCAGGGCTACTTCCGAAACAGAAATTCCCAATTGTCATGACTCTGACATTGAAGCTCAACAACATCATCACCATGTTCCCGAAAATGCGTTCATGGATATTGGCCTTCAAACAAGTATAGCTATTGGGTTACATAAATTACCAGAAGGTTTTATTACATTTGCTACAAACCACGCAAACCCCGAACTTGGAGTTTCTGTCTTTTTGGCTTTACTTGTTCATAACATCACTGAAGGGTTTGCAATGGCTTTACCATTATACCTAGCACTTGGTAGCCGACCACGAGCTATCTTCTGGAGTTCCTTCCTTGGAGGTGTGTCACAGCCAGCCGGTGCCGGAATTGCAGCCGCATGGTTTTCAATTGCCGGACGGGAGGGTCATGCGCCTAATATTGTGGCTTATGGATGTATGTTTGGTATCACGGGAGGTATTATGGCTAGTGTCGCATTGCATCTTTTCGCCGAGTGCCTGGGTTTGAATCATAATAGAAGCTTGTGCATTTCTTTTGCATTTGTGGGCATGGCGTTAATGGGTATGAGTAACGCTCTTACCTCTCAATAAGGAAGTGTGGGGATGGGAATGGAAATCGAGATGGGTACGCATTATGAATAGATGATAGGCGTTTTTATAGGATATTAGCATACCATGGGATTGGGTCTTATTTTGGAGGGTATTTGGGGAGTTTATTGTGTGTCTTTGGGGGGCTTCGATGGATATTGGATCCTTAGTTGCGAGATTCGATGTATTTTTATTTCCAAACTCTCGGGTTCGAAATTGGTGAGCGAATAGTTAGAAATATTAGTTATGCTTAGACTCAGGCTTGGTTACTATGAATACACTCAATGGTTCTGTAGCTACGTACATATTTATCCTTCTCTATGTGATACAAGTGGTGTGATGAATGTCTACATGAGTTTTACATGGGTGGTGAATACACAGACTCTCATGTTTTTGAAAAGGAAGGAGTCTCATAATCAGAATGTCGCCCCTTCTGAAGACGACTATCCTTGCTTAGATTCATAGGCGAGTCAGTAGATATCTGGTCATGTTAAGTTTCGTTCTCTGAGATACATTCGAGGAGATGCGCTCAATCAGATATGTATATCCATAGGTTCATAGATAGAATAGGTATAGCTCGCGAAGTAGTCCCTCTTTATTAATTTACTAAAGCTATTGTTACTTTTTCTTCTTCTTTTTTTATTTATCAGGATCGTTGGTAGTATGTGGTATGTGGTATGTGGTATTTAGTATTTAGTATGTCTAATAAGAAAAGCAGTACTGGATGATGAAAAAAAGAAATAAAAAAAGAAAATCAGGAATTTGTACACGGGATGTAATATAATGCTTTTGAGTAGATGTAGATGTAGATGTAGATATAGATATAGAGGTGGAAGATGAAGGGCTAAAGGGCTGATTTATTATATATATATATATCTATTCATCTATATCATCGAGTAGGTACTAGGTAGATATCTGTAATGAGTTATTATGATATATATATATATATTACAGTAGCAATAGAAATAGAAATAGACGAACTAATTAATCAACAACATCAGAATATCCCATCCTCCCATCCTCCCATCCTCCCATCCTCCCATCCTCCACTCCAAACCACATCCCACAATCCCACAAAGCAAGAAAAAGAAAGATAACATAACTCAACCCCCAAACTCAACTAGAACGAACATACGGATGGGATGGACCACATGAGTGAGATATCGAATTCGATTCGTAGAATATATAAACCTATTTTACTCCCCCCCCCGGTTTCTCATTCATTTATTCATTCATTCCTCGCCTTTGGATTTTCAAAATCTTGTATGGTCGAATTACAATGTAGTCTGGATGGAGTGTTGGATACTACCTACCTATACTACCTATACTAGTGTGATGTAGAGAATCGATCATAGCTGGAGAGGTATTACAATTACATTTTAGCATTTTCGTTTTCTTCAATCAGGATTTCGAATTCTATGATCGAGTTACCTACCCACCTACTCACCTACCTACCTAGCATCAAGCATCAAGCATCAAGCATCTTTCCACTCATACATCGTTGGACTAGTATCCAAACTAGTATTCCCCTGAAAATCTCGCTTACAATCAGCCCCCTAAGTAGCCCGCCCATCTCCAGTTGTATAGATACGGTACACTCACCAGGCTACATCAAATGTTTCATTTTACGGATCATACATCACAGATCACATATTTCTGGAGACCCCAATCATCAGAATCTTTTCATTGCATTTCCCATACTGAATATTGGTTTTCTGTCTTGCTTTCCTTGGTATACTACATAAACTATTTGAAACCCCTGGTTATTCTCGACTTTTCCTTTCGGTATCAATCCACCAATAGAAGTAAGTAAAGAGATCGATCTTCATCTCAACCGCATGTGAATTTCGGGTTTCAATTCTCGTTCCTAATCCACTATTTTTCGCGTTCCTGTGTTCATTTCGCTCACTTGCCCGACTTTGTAATTCAAATTCGATCAGATTTGAATACTCAAGTACCATGACCTTCATTCCCCATCATCTAAAATCGATGGCTTCTCCTTTGCGAAGTTCTCCAAGCCGTATATCCGACATAACCGCCACCTAGAACAACTAATCCAATGATACACTTAACAAAGAACCAACTCCAGCTTCCGGCAGGCTTCTTATTTCTGTTCAAAATACCCTGTCCCTTTTGAGATCTACTGTTTCCATTTTCAGGCTTGGGCTGCGAATCCTTGTACTTATTCTTGTGAGTGTTGGTATCGTACAGATTATTCGTGTTGACGCTGATGATATCATGATTGTCGCTCAATTCACCCGTTTCGGCAGAAAATCCAAGATAGGCTACGGATGGAATAGTAGGTGGTTCGAAAGTTTCAAAGCAGAGTTCCCATTGATCCTCCTTCTTGTATTGGAGTTCGAGTTTGAGAGATTTGTCTTGGAAATAGGTGAGTTTGGCTTTAGTTGGGACATTCGCATTGCGGAGACCCCGTGCAGAACAGCCCATGTATTCTTGATCTTTGCCATCGTTGCTCTTGTCATAGGCAGTGTTGCCATCGCCGACCATGGCCATTACGTAGGGGAAGACGGTTCCGGGACGATTGTTCTTGTAGGTGTCGAAGAAGATACCGAGACCTTCGAATTTGTCAACGGAGCCGAAGACGTCGCCTTGGATGCCGCGTTGCTTGGTGAGCCACATGGCGAAACCATCACCGTGGAGGTTGCCTTGACCATGGACCTTGAATTCGACTTCGATCTGCAGATAAGTTGTGGTTAGATTGCATCGAGGAGAGTGTGGGCGAATTTATTCATACCTCCCAGTTTGTGGCTGTTAGTGGGACTCTTGAGAAGAGCCATCCTGAAGAAGATGGATGATCATATGTCAATCGTATGTACCTATACCCTCCACATCAGCCCATCTATCCCCAACAAGTTCTGGACTCAGGGCGCATGCATACTTGTCTGCTCTCACAATAGTATTTCCGCCGAAATCGAACCATCTACTTTGCATATCCGAATCCAAATATGGCTAATCCAATTCCAAATCAGCAAAGTTCCCAAAACTATGTTGTGCGCTTCTTGTTCAACTACTGACCTGATTCAGCGAATGTGTTCGGAGCTATTCCAACAAGTCAGTCAACTCTTCCTTCACTGGTAATTCAATCGAGTAGACCAACCGGTATGCTCCTAATTCCGTCCTCACTCAGCTTCGTAGTCTGCGTATCTCCAGCGGCTATAACACAAGAAGCCAGCCATAGCGCCGACAATGATTTGGGGAACCACATTGCGTCCTGTACAATCTGTCCCTATCCACAAGTATTCTTCAAGGCCTATACTTTCCCCAGATTTCAATCAATTCTTCAACCGGGCGAAGCAAAGAAAAAGAGTAACGTAAAGTAGATGGAGAAAAAGAAGGATCCTTCAGCCAGGAAAACCAGAATAGGATGTTGAGAAAGGAAATAGTTTCAGGGACTGCGAAGTATCGTGAATCGAATCCCGAAGTCGTCAGATTAAATTGTTAGCTGGCCTTAAGGTTTCCTATCTGTGTCTGTGTCTGTGAACAATTTGGCGTCGGGGATTTCAAGGTTAAGCTGAGATCCCTGTTATTTTGAATTGCGAGAATGCCTGGGGCCTGTCTTGAGCCTGTCTTGAGCCTGTCAGTAGTGATTGGAGAGACTGCTATAGCGTTCGTGACGGGTGTTGGGGGTGCTGGTAGCCCTGGAAATTACTTCTACAGTACGGACTGGTGGTGGATGTTGACGCTGTATACCCTGTAACCTCTCAACTGTAACCTCTCAACCAGGGATGATAGCTACCAGTCGGTACTTGCCTAAGGCCGAGTTGTGAATTTGATGGTCCATCGTCATTCTTTGAGATCGATTATAAAAAATTGAGGTTCGTTATTCGTAGATATTAAGTTTAAAATTCAACAACGAAAATTCACACCTCTTCTTCATATACAATTTGACATTCAATCTCCTCAAAGCGTCACTTTCCACATAGAATTCTATACATCACACATATAAATTCTATACATCACGCAACCATGGATTCTCTTAACAATGCATTCGCCTCCTCGGACCCCAAAGCTGCTGTTATGAATCAAGTTCGTCAGGAAGCTGCTATGACCAATGCTAGACAATTGATCGAGGTGAATAATTTCTCTATCCTCGTTCCTCTAGTTTTCCTTCTACCCCTTCTCCACGTCCCTTCCCCTAGTCTCTTATAATTCACATATTAACCATCCACCTAGAAAGTAAACGAACACTGCTTCGAGAAATGCGTCCCCAAACCCGGTACCTCTCTCAGCAGCGGCGAAACTACCTGCTTCACCCAATGCATGGAAAAATACATGCAAGCGTGGAACACAGTGAGCAAGCAATATATTGCGAGATTGCAACGAGAGTCGACTAGCGGAGGGGCGACGGGGGGTATGTTTTAGATTTTGATTTGGGCTGGGATTTTAGAAGAGGGGTAGAGGAAGACCGAGGGAGGGTAGAGAAGAAAAAAGATATCACGGGAAGGAGTGATATTATTGAGTAGGAGGGGTTATGTGATGATGAAGTGATGAGGTGCTAGAGCATGCTAGAGCGAGATATCAGAACAATGAGCCGTGATTTGGTATGGAAGGCTATTATGATGGAGTGTATTATACTCTTGTACACTATGAATGGGTCACCACGTCTCTGGAAATGGAGGGCATAAAATGCAAGGAATTGGAAACAACACCACTATAAATGAAATGGAGATATCTATGGCGATAAGATGTAATTTGCTCTGGTTTCGATTCGGGTATTATATATTATGTTTCTATTGAGATGCTTTCTTCTTTGCTTCTTCCGCCTCCCTCTTTCTTGCAAGATATCTTTCCTTGGCACTCATAATATCGCCTTCGGTCTTTCGACTCTTAGAAGCTCTCTCTACTTTCTGCTTCTCTTCTTCCTCTTCCTCCAAAGCTCGTTTGGTAGCTTGTTCTAATTGTGCTTCCATCATTCGTGATTGTCGTTCACGCATAGCTTGTTTTCCACCTCCACTTCCCACAAATGTATTGCCTTTCTTGTGATCAGGCATTGAGCTTCCACTTCTTGATGAATTTGGATTAGGTGTTGGTTTCGCTTTAGGTATTATGTTTAATCCACCCTTGAGTAATTCTCTCTTGTCAACAACTTGACCTTCGTCGTTGATGGCAATAGTGCCTCCCTTTTTCTCGTTGATTTCCCGTGCTATATCTGCATCAGTCTTCACTTTTTCATCCTCCGTCACATCTTCTCGTGGGCCTTGTTTAATCCTTTCCTCGGCAGCCTTTACTATTTCAGCATGTTTCTGTTCACCCTTCTCAAGCATATTTTTGTAGAAACTAGTCATTCCCGTGCCTTTATTCTTTCTTTGCTCTTCCTCCTCTCTCAACCGTTCTTCTTCTTCTATGCGGCGATTCTCTTCTTGTTGTTTCTTATATGCTGATGTGACAAATTTCTCCTTATCTGCAAATTCATCGCCTTCGGCTTCTCTTTCTCTTGCGAGTTTCTTCTCCTCGGCAATTGTAGAATCGCGCTTCCGTACTGCAGCAGCTGCAATAAGATTGCTCATATACTTCGGCTTCCGTTCCTCCTCCTCATTGACTACCTTCTTCTTTGGCTTTAAAGAATCATAGACTGCATCGTAATCGTATATGTTCGCATCAAGTTCTTCTGCAGTCTCGGCATGTTTCTTCGACGTGAGCGAACTCGAGAGGTCGCCAAACATACTTATAGGCGGCTTTTTTGAGGGTTTCGAGGGTTTCGAGGTCGAGGATTTCGAAAATTTCGAGGGTTTTGACAATGGAATATTGACATTTGTATCCTCATCTGAGTCATCACCACCAAATACGTTGAAACCATTATTTAACCCCATTGTGTGTTTTATGATGGAATAGTAGAATGTTGAGGAAGTGGTATTTTGTTATGTTAGGATTACAATGTACGGTATGGGTCGCGCTTTCCATAGGTAGCTGTAAAATGCCGTAAGGCGGCAATCACGCTAATGACCCACTCTAGCAATCGATAAGAACTTTAGCGGCATTCAGTAAGATGAGATGACAAAACCGTAGGATGCCTCGATGCGATGTTGTATACAACCACAAATCCAAGTACGCTCATTTTAGTTGTTCATATCACAACCATACCTCCAAAACTTATCATTTTACTGTCTCAACGTAGAAATTCAACTAAACTCCAATGAAGATATGACCAACTCTCATCCAACTAAATTTCGATTCAAGAGGAAGCATAGGGAGGATGAACCACCATCAGGGAGCCATAGCGAAGAAAGGCGCCACCGCCATCATCATCGCTCAAAACGAAGCAGGCAATCTGCCACGAATGATGATCCATCCCTCTACGATGACACGCACCTCCCCAATACCTCTTCCAAGCAGTATCTCGACCCAGATGTTGCATTCAGGGAAAGTCTATTTGATGCGATGGCTGACGATGAAGCTGCACAGTATTGGGAGGGAGTTTATGGGCAACCAATTCATACATATCCCGACGTCAAGCAAGGTCCTACAGGCGAGCTAGAACAAATGACTGACGAAGAATATACGGCATATGTCAGAGGTAAAATGTATGAGAAGACCCATCAACATTTAATAGAGGAAAAGGCTCGGCGCGAAGCAGCCAAAAAAGAGCGAGAACGGTTGGCTCAAGAAGGTAGGAAAGAAGAGAGAGATGCTGAACGATTGCAAAGAAAGGTTGAGGAGAGTTTGAAGAGAGGTCAGGAGAGAAGGTCCAAGAAAGTTTGGACCGAAAAATGGAATAACTACATTAAGAAATGGGAAGATCTTGGGAAGAACTCTTCGAAAGTTGCAGTTGCATCCATACCTTGGCCAGTCGAAAGTGGAAGTAAAAAAGATGTCAAGAAGGAGGACGTCAGAAGATTTTTCTTATGCGCACCAACCTCTGGAGAACCTACCGAATTACAGCTTACGAAGACCTTGAAGGTAGAAAGAGTCCGGTGGCATCCCGACAAGATTCAACAGAAGTTGGGAGGACAAGATGTTGACGAAGCGGTAATGCAAGCTGTTACCGCAGTCTTTCAAATAATCGATGGGCTGTGGTCGGAGAGCAGAATGAGTGGTCAATGAACGGAAGTAAATATTAATGGGACTCGCGATTATCAAAGCATAGATAGCATGGAGTTTGGGAAGAACATGAGGGGTAATCGGAATACCAAATTGCATTGCATGGGTTTTGGGACTGGCCACATCTTCACGGGATCTAGGAGAATTCAAGAACATCGAGATGAAGTGTATGCAATGAGCCTCGAGAAAGTTCTCATCATATACAGGTATCAATCTGATACTTAGATAGGGTTAAAGATTGAAAATACATCTATTTCGATGTTACAGGTTACATGATGGCATGGACTTGCACTCAACTATGCCCCGATAGGTAGGCATACTTACTAGAAATCGCAGTGACGTGAATGAATCATAGTTGACATTTTATTTGAAACATTGATCGCTTGATTTAGTACTGGATATGGAGAAAGAGGATAGACTTTGCTCATATGGAGACTAAAAGCAGAGTTTAGGTTGGTGAAGTAGAAGTGGTAGGTAGGTGATGAAGCTGGCTGACTAATAATGATGATGGACAAGAAATACCAGATGAATCAAGATCTTCCATCTACCTCGCGTGTACACTTTCCTTTGTGAAGGATTTTGAATTTTTGTTCATGATGGATGTGGGATCTGTAAGGACAAGACGGAGGATGCTGATATCCCCGCATTGTCATTGGTTGCATGATTTATAATTTACAATTTACTATGCGAGAGGAGGTAAGATTTTACGTGGTAGCTGGAGGCACATACAAATGTATATTGGTGCAGAATCCATCCTTTGATATTGTAGAATGGAAAGGCTTCGAGATATTATCAGGTAGTTTGATCACCACGTATCTAGGATTTCTGATATCAGAGAATGTCAAAGTAGAAAGTAGATGGAAGCAAGTACTCACTCACTCCCTGCCTACCTACCTAGTATATAGTACATATCTTCAGAACATGATCTCTTTCTTTCTCAGTATATTATCAGGTATCGGTATCATCTCTTGATTTTACTTTACGATCCACGAATTGAGAAGTGTAACCTTAACTTGAGCATTGAGAGATACAGATACGAGATACCTAGCCTAGCTACTATGACTTACCTACATAGTAGGCACCTAGTATGTATATTTACAGTCAAGGCATTAAAGGACTGGAACTGAAAGAAAGAATAAAGCGCCATCAAGAACAAACCATTCACAAGACTGCAAACCTTGGCTTCGTCTTCTTTAACATCAGGACGGTGGTAGCAAGATGAGTTGAAAGGTATAATTTTTATTATCTTACCAGCTGCAGTATCTTTCGGGTTGATCTTCTCCTCTTCCTCAAATCATCAAATGATGAACCATCAACCCCACCAAAGCTAATGCCATACACCACCGAGTGCACAGAAGACGGAGAGGACTCAGATATCATCATCATCGAGCATCGAGCATCGAGCATCTGGTGTTCCGCAGTGAGGGAGCAATCAAGTTAACATCAAAACGTCAACAAGAGAAATTGAAGGGAAAGACTTGATTGAAATGGTTCTAGGGGAGAGAGTTCCATGCTGGTCGAATAATTACTCTACCTCTCTTTGCCTGTAGTCATTAACGGTCAATGGTGGTGGGTGGTCATATTCCAAACAAACCATCAACCTCCGTCCCTCCTGGGTCACGATCGGAATTCAATTCCAGATTCATAATTTCCCCTCACCTCACCTCACCTCACCTCACCTCACATTATTATCATTATTCATTCTGTACCTATCACCGTCACTATCACTGCCTTCACTGCCTTCACCACCTTCACCACCACCACCACTACCACCCAGTAATTATTGCGATTATCTTCTTATATCATCACATACGATACATACCTAGGTACCTTGTCTTGTATACCTCTCACACTCCCACACTCCCACACTCCCACATCCACCCACTACTACTACTATTACTACTACTACTACTACTACTACCCACTACCACCCACTACCACCCACTACCACCTACAACAGCTATCATAACCCAACACAACCCACCAACCTCCTCCAATCCCAAATCAATCTTCCCCCCTCCCCCCTCAAAATACATCAATGGTTATTTATTATTAGTTCATGTATCATTATCACGATCATTATCATTACCCTCGATATTCTCAATTGAATTCCATTTGCTATATTTATTCCACTCATACCGACATTCTCCAACCCTTAATTCACTCTAATATTGTATCATTCCATTCAATTGGTGCTCTTTGTCGCAACGGACACAGTTCATAATTTACAACTACAACGATCCGCATCCTACGAAGCTTACTCCCCAAAAACGAGCAACTTGCAACTCCCTGCTTCACCTTGCTTGCCCACGAAGACTCCAAGAGAATCGAGAAAGAAACTCAAAATTGTCAATTCATAACACATCTTGCTCCCTTCCTTTCTAGGGACCCGGTAATTAAACAACATACACCCTTTGATTTTCCCCAATTAGCCTTGTCTGTCAAGACTGCTTTGGGGGTAACCTTACCAACTACCACCTACCACCTACCTACCCATCTACCTTACATATCATCCTGCATTCGGCCTACACACCCGCGGCCCTGCTTTTTGCTGACTGTCGATCTATCAAACTCGACATCCAGCAACCTACCATTTTCATTCTATGCCGACACTCGGTTTTCTGAAGAAGAAACGGACGAAGGAGTCTCCGGCCATAACCTCTCCAACATCTAGTCAAGCCACAACCAGTCCGACAACCCCCACATCATCAAGAGGCTTCGATAATTCGATAGCTTCTGTCTCGACCCAATCGACTTTACCCCAATCCCACGAGCACGAGGTTCTCCAAACTACAACCTCTCGCACAACCGACGACCAACCGACTGCCGTGGCCAAAAAAGCCTCAATGACACACGGAATAACTCCACAGCAGCAATCTGCGCAAATCCATTCTGATCAACAGCAGCACCGTCAAAACTCTCCCAGCATTAGCAACTTGATCCATCCACCACAGCATGACGGCGCGAGCCAGTCATATCCAACCCCACCAGCTTCTTCACAACCTTCACTACATCCGGTAGCTGCTAACACCAGCACACTTCAAATGGACTCCTCACAGCGACAATCGCAGCAATCACAGCAGCAGCCACAGATTAGACAAACCAAGGGCAAATATTCTTTGACAGATTTTGATATTCAGCGCACATTGGGCACGGGAAGTTTTGGTCGAGTTCATCTGGTTCGATCAAAGCACAATCAGCGATACTATGCCGTCAAAGTATTGAAGAAGGCGCAGGTGCACAAGATGAAGCAGGTCGAACATACCAATGATGAGAGAAAGATGTTGCAAGAAGTCAAGCATCCATTCCTCATTACTTTATGGGGTACCTTTCAAGACTCGAAAAATCTATACATGGTGATGGATTTTGTAGAGGGGGGTGAACTATTCTCTCTACTGCGAAAGTCACAAGTAAGTTCGATGACACTAACTCCATGAAAGACACTAATCATTCAATTTCAGCGATTCCCCAATCCAGTAGCCAAATTCTATGCTGCTGAAGTTACATTGGCTCTAGAATACCTTCATTCAAAACATATCATTTATCGAGATTTGAAACCAGAGAATTTACTACTTGATAGGCACGGGCATCTCAAGATTACTGACTTTGGATTCGCAAAGAAAGTCCCAGATATTACATGGACATTGTGTGGTACCCCAGATTACTTAGCACCAGAAGTAGTCTCGAGTAAAGGTTATAATAAATCCGTAGATTGGTAAGTTTTAGCCTCATCATCCCTATTCCACATTCCCTCTCCTAGAGCGAAGCGAGAAGGCCTCCACGGCAGTGGCCCAGCGGAGCGTCATCAATTAGACCATCCTCATTATACGTTTTCTCTTATGGGGGCAGGCCCCCAAACCCCCGTTCTCGCTGCGCTCGATTGAACCATATTATCCTAAAAGGTTGTATCATCCAACTAACATGAATCAGGTGGTCCCTTGGTATATTAATTTTCGAAATGCTTTGTGGTTTTACACCATTTTGGGATGGTGGCTCTCCCATGAAAATCTATGAGAACATTCTTAAAGGGAGGGTCAAGTATCCTCCCTATATTCACCCAGATGCACAGGACTTGTTGCAAAGATTGATCACAGCAGATCTCACCAAGCGTCTTGGTAACTTACATGGTGGTTCTGAGGATGTCAAAAATCATCAATGGTTTGCTGAAGTTACTTGGGAAAGGTTATCCAAGAAGGATATCGATGCACCTTATGTTCCTCCGGTCAAGGCTGGAGTTGGAGATGCCAGCCAGTTTGATAAGTACCCTGAAGAAACGGAGATATATGGTCAAGGTGGGCCCGATGAGTAAGTGAATCTCTTGACCTTTTTCAAACTTAACTAACAAATATTAGATTTGGGCACCTATTTGTGGATTTTTAAACAAAAGTTTTATACTCGGAGTCTCGGGGCTAGGCTACTTGTTCAAGAAGACTATGTTTCTTTTGTACTTTGCAGTTTAAACTATTCTTCTGCACATATATTACAGTACGGGCAAGATAACCTTACGTCACATCATCTCTTTTTGTTTCACAGGCATTGGATTGGAATATTAGGTGGTTTACTCTGGCTTGTTCACAGCTCTTTGGTGATGGGTGGGGTGGCGGTAAGGTGTTGGTATGGTTGGTATCGTACGATGGGACGGACGTGGATTTTAGTCGACAAGTTTTTTTGGCACTAGGAACGTGATGACATTCATGTTTGAGAAAGAGGTATAGTTATCAATATGCATGCATGCATGGATGGATGGATGGATGGATGGATAACACAACGATGTTCATGCCCCGTTGTATGGAATGAAATGAAGCTAAAACGGGTGTGTATGGTATGAATGATGGAACTTGAGATATTAGTTATGTGTTCGAAGGGAATTGATGGTGCGGAGGAAGGGGAGGGAAAAAAAGGAAGGATCATAAATCCGATTTGTAATAGTGAGAATAGGATATTATATTCTTCTGGGGCTTTGTATGTTTGTAGGTTTGTGTGTGTGTGTTTTATGCGAATTGTACTGTGAGCTAGAATGATTGGGTGAGGTGAAGCGAGCGAATGTTGCGCGAGCGGTTCAATACTCGGGGTTTAGCGAGGGCAGTGAGAGCTTGTAGCTAGCTTAAACTCATGTGAGATGTAAGTGTGAGATGTAAGCTTCGAATACTAGAAATCAAAAGGAAGGTATGTGTGTGTGTGAAATGATGTGGAAATGATATGGAAATTGATGAGTGGATATATAGTGTGGTTGGAGATCTTTTTTTCTTGATGGGTGTGAATATTGAATATTGGAAATGTTTGGAGAAAGAGGGGGGGGGAGGGGGGTTGGTGTTGGTATTGGTGTTGGTTAGTGGGAAATGAGTTTGTGGGAAATGAGTTTGTGGATTTTTTAGGGGGGGGGGATGGGAGAGGGGGAGATGGGAGAGGGGGGAGATGGGAGATGGGAGATGGGAGATGGGAGATGGGAGAATAGGGAGAATAGGGAGAATAGGGAGAATAGGGAGAATAGGGAGAATAGGGAGAATAGGGAGAATAGGGAGAATAGGGAGAATAGGGAGAATAGGGAGAATAGGGAGAATAGGGAGAATAGGGAGAATAGGGAGAATAGGGAGAATAGGGAGAATAGGGAGAATAGGGATGAGAGTGAGGATAAATGAAATAAATAGAAAGAAAGAATATCGAAGCGAGAAATAAGGATATGTATATCGATATATAAGTTTATTAATTATTAATTGATTAGCTATATAATATAAGCATCTAAGTGGGATTTGGGAATATACTAGTTAATTGTTGTAGGGGTTAATGGATTTGATATGTTTTATTGTTATTGGAGTTTGGGGGGAGTTTTGGGGGAATTGAGAAGGATAGAGTGGGAGGGGTAGAAGGTGAGAAGAATGATAAAAGGAGTTGTGGAGAGATAAATGGATATGATATTTATGGAAGGATTGGAAAGAGAAAGGGAAAGGGAAAGGGAAAGGGAAAGGGAAAGGGAAAGGGAAAGGGAAAGGGAAAGGGAGAGGGAGAGAGGGAGATGGAGAAATATAGAGGGGTGTATAAGTTGAAGGAAATAAGAAAAGAATGGGGAGGGTGTATGGGGAGGTGAGTGAGTGAGTGAATGAGTGAGTGGTTAGGGAAAAGGGGTTGCACATGTACATCTATGGTTCTGGTGAGTGATGGAATTGGGATTCAAGTCCAGAAGGTGGGTAGATGTTTGTGTGATATTTGGAATAGAGGGATGGAGGGAAAAAGAAGGGAGAAAGAGAAGGGAGAGGAAGAGGAGGAGAAAGAGGAGGGAGAAAGAGAAGGGAGGAAGGGGGATATATGTTATGTTGCGTTGTGTTGTGTTTTAGAGCGTGGGATCTGACATCTGGGATTTGGTACATTTAAGTTGGGGATTAGTGGGGATAGAAGTTGGGAGAGATGGGTATGGGGAAAAGCTTCAGGATGTAAGATAGAGAAGAAGATAGATTTGAGAAGAAAGGATAAATCTTTTATCAGGAAAGGAAATTAGGGCTTGAGGAAGAGAATAAGTGGGAAATGTGGACGCATAGAGATTGGTGTGGGTTATGTTTTGTTCAGAAGTACTGAAATTGATACCTGCGGTGATATTGTTGACTCAGCTATAGGAAGATAGATGAGTCGGTCGGATGGTTATCTAGATGTATAGACATGTACTGACTCAAGATGAGAGTGTTGGAAACTCAAACTTCAATGGTTGTGATAACGTAGTTTGCATTTACCAGACGTTCCAAGGGCTGGATTTAAGACGTAGATATTTGTTCGCTTTGGTTCATGATGATTTGAACTTTGGATATGAAGTGAGGTGTGTTGAATGATTTTGATGATCTAAGATATTTATGAAAAATGACGTCTATAAAGAACCCTAGCAAACGGGATATAGCAAACGGGATATCGTGACACAGGGATTTGAAGATCTAGTGGACCTATATCATAGCTTAAGAATACCTAAAATTAACATCTAGTCCGACATGATAACCTTATGTATTTGAATGGGAAGATCTAAATATGCGAGCAATAGGCGCATAGATCCGAGTAGACGAGGATTAGATTATCAGAAAGTACAAAATGGAAATAGAAATATGTGATATCTAATATGCGATATGCGATATGCAAGGGGTTGAATTGTGATATCGGAAAATTCCCTATTCGAATCTATGTCGAAGAAGAGGAAGGATAGGGCTCGCATTCAATTAAGAGACAAATCTTGTTTACGTCGTACATCAATTGATCTACTGATCAACACAAAGATAAACGCCAGAAGTGGGTGGTGCGGGGTAATTTGTTTCTATATTTGACAGTTCGTCACATCCAAAAATAAACTTGAAGTACGTTAGGGGTTGCACGGATTGGATATGGATATCGGTGTGTGACTGGGATTCAGGGGGTGTTAGGCGCCCGGGAGTTCGTCACATCTTGGAGATATTGATAAAATTATAGCTTGTTGTTACTACGTACCAATCTATTTGAATGTGTAGCGCGTGAAAAGGTGTGGGTTTATCAAATTGAGTATGTTACTTAGTAATCTGCAACTCCCAAAATAGACTCACTCGTCGGTTAAAATCAAACGAATGCAATGTTTTATTTTAGAATACACTTTTAACCAATTATATCATATAATTAAGAATGTCTTGCAGATTGCACACACCATTCACACTAGAGAGAAACAATTTTCCCCTTTATGATACTATTGATGTAGTACTAAGTGATCATAGAGCAGAATGTAGTCAAAGCTCCAGGATCTATCAGTATCTTGCGCGATATGCCTTATATACCATGTTAGTTACATGCTAAGGCTACATGCTTGTCTCTCCGCTATGCGGGTATCATGCATCGGAGAGTTTATTTTGGGTATTGGCGTCTTCTGGGTTTTGGAAGTCTTGAAATTTATATATCTCTTGACTGCTCCCTTGAGTTAAGTAGCTCTCCCATCGGCTTCAGCTTTTTGCATTGGATATCAAGATAGACAATTAAAAGTCTCTCGATAACATCTGCTCATTGCAAAGCTGTTCATTGTCATCAATATGCCTATCTCAAAGCACAACGTATCCTCTCCATTGGAAGCGGGCACATCGTTGCTCCAACCAATGCAACTACCATCAGAATTACTCGAAGCTCTCGATTACGTATCAAAACGATTGGTACGAAAGAGACTTCACTTATCATTGATCGTCGTCAAAAAAGACAATCAAATACAAAGCCCCGCTATTTCCAGAACTACAGCCGCACCCGGTTCTTACTCACACACTACATCCCCATCAACACTTCTTTACAATAGCGCTCCGCTCACATCTCACGTTCGCAACATTTCACTCTCAAGTCGAGGAACCTCTCCAGTCAGTTCTCGTTCTTCAAGCCCAACCAGCACCATCTTCTCGAATTCTCTTTCGGAGCGCTCAAACTCAACCACAACATCTACCCTCTCCACCTCGACAATCTATCTCTCCCGCACAAAATACTCCGGCCTTCCTTCTTCCCCCAAAGATACCATGGCCCACCACATCCGCGCATCCATTTCCCCTCCTTCCACCCCCTCTTCTCCCCCCGCAGAATGGGTATCCCCCGATACCCCCAACCGCTACGGCATCACCCTCATGCATTCCACCCGTCTCACTCCCCGCGCCGAACGCATCCTCCGCTCCACCATTTCGCGAGCCGAAAGAAAATTCCCCTCCATCGGATCCGACTGGCTCTCCTCCTCCTCCCTCTCCTCCCCCATCGCCGATCCCTCAACTCAAGATCTCATCCGTCGCTCGCTGGCTCAAAATCGTGTCGTGTTCACCGCCCCGGGATTATCCCTCTACTCGCTTGATTATCTGTACTCCTTTAAATGCGCGCTGCATACTTATTCGCGCAGTCTGTCTGCAGAAGATATGAGTATTGCGATTGATGAGCTGCGACGCGTGGTTTTGGTACGCGGGGGAAAGATCGGGAGAAGTGAGGTAATGAGAGGGTATGAGTGGTTGGGCATTTCGCTGAGTGCGCTGTGTGATGTTGAGGAAGGGTATAAAAGGATTTATGGGGGGAGTGCAGGAGAAAAGGCGATTTTTAATGATGAAGTGAGGAAGTCGCTTTCGGTGAAGACGTCTTTTAGTATTGAGGAAGAGGATTTGGTGGAGGTGGGTGAGAGTGCTAAGGGGAGGGATGGGGAAAGTCCGGTTTGGGAGAGGGAGAGCGGAAATGGAGAGAGAGAAGATCGGGGACCTTTTTTCAGGGGTGATAGAACCCCGAATCGAGTGGAAGATGTGAGTCCGGGGACTAGAGGGGAGTGGGAGCATTTGATGAGAGGAGAAAGGAGACTCACTCTTATTCAAGTGGATTGCTAAAATTTTGTGTGGCTTTTACATGTATTTGGGTTCAGGATCACGGCTTCGGCTTATGGCGTATATATTTCCCGAGAACAAGAGCTGTGATCGGGAGGAGTTGGTTTTGATCTTTGGGTCCTTTGAACATTGATTCGGGGACAGGTGTTTGGATGGATGGGAAAATGATGAAATTTGTATATACATTTACGGCATCTTTATATATCTTATATACGATTCTACATACCTACAATGCGGTTCTTGACTACAATTTACTTCCTCTCTTCACTATGCATATGTACCTCCCTCTCTCTCTCTGTCCCTCCAACTTTACCATATAGTACATATCCATAATACATAGATCACAACCACAATTCCTAACCTCTATCCCCACCATAGATTCTATAGCATTCCACGCCCAACTTTCAAACTCACCCCGCGCTCCAAATAATTTTGACATACCCCATATCTCCATAGCTAAGCAACTACTCTGCCAATGATTTTGTTAATATAAGAATATAGTTTTCTGTCGCCAGGAGTCTTGGAAGCTTCTACTTTGCAAGATATTCAATAGATATTCGATTACTTCAAAGTGCTAGCAAATTGATACCGATCTTTCGGGAATATAAGGGGGTCTCCTCGCTTATCATTGTACTGCCGTGATATTTACCAGCGGAATGAGTGAGATGATTGAGAGAAGATTTGAGGTCTTTCCGATATATCAGTGCAAATATTACGCATGTGAAATCATAAAACTCGATTTGAGAATAGTGTATATGGGTATCGAATTATTTCTCATTTCTCATTTCATATTTTCATTCCACCTTCTTCCCTTCTTCTTTCTTTCTCATCATTAGAAACCAATTTACTATCCAAACCCCTATCTACCACCCATATTTACTCCCCGCTTCCTTTCTATTATTCCTACCCGTCGCAAAACTCTCCTCCAATGCTTCCCTCTGACTCTGCGCCGCTCCAACCAACTGTTTCAAACTATGTTTACCAGGCGCGATTGCTCTGACAGGGTTATGCACAACTTGTTCTCCTGCAGCGCGGAGTTCTTCATTATGTGCGTATTCTTGATCTGTATTGAAATTTATGATTTTTGTTGCAGCCTGTGGGCCGGAACCACCACCTTTTTGACGACCGAAGAGTTGACGACGTTCGGCGGCGGAGAGATGGAGAGTGTCGGCTATAGAGGAGAGAGATTCGGTGTTGTGGTTGTTAATTGGAGGCGTGGGAGCGAAGGGGAGGGTGTGGTTGGTTGTTGGGGTGTACTCTTCGTATATGGGTTCTTTGGAAGGGGTGGGTTGGTAGAGTAGTGGTGTGTATTCTCCGTTTGAAGTGGCATTTGGAGTGTTAACTGGTTCTACTTCTAGAGAGAATAAGGATACTTTTGGTTTTGGCGCTACCTTCCCGGTATTTTGTGGAGTGGCTGGTGTGGTAATTTGTGGTGTTGAAGTGGAAGTAGAAGGCGTAGATGCATTTGAATTTGGCTTCTGGAGCTTCTTTTTTGCTGGCTTCCTCGCGACGGATAATGGTCTGAACATTAATGGTTTCCCGACCAATTTGACTTCATCTGCTGGTTTCTGTCCATCGACCAAGGAGCTTGGAGGAGGTGAATTGAATCCAGATCCACTAGCTCCCTCTTCCTCTTCAGCAGGCTCTTCCGTTGTGTATTCTCTCTCCTGTACCGGTTCCGGTTCTCTACTAAAAGCAGGAGCTGCACCAGTCTTCAAACTAACTCCAGCTCCCAAACCACTCTTTCGCGGCCCATTTCCACCACCTAATGTCGCACTTGTAGATTGTCCTGTTCTCTTTGGAGCTGGCAAGAATGAATTAAACCCACTGAAAGCTCCACCACCTGTCTTTGCGCGCTTCGTTGGAGGCTCATCGGTTTTGGTATCGTCTTTCAAAGATGCTTGTGGTAATGAAACCCGAATTTTGCCAGGATTTGATCTATCGACAACTTTTTGGAATGCAGGTTTACCAGTTGCGAATGTTGATGTTGATGGCTTTGATGCAGTAATCTCTGGAGAATCTGAATCTTCCGAATCCGAATAATCTACCAATCCCATCGTTGCGGTGTTTGTTCTCTTGATGATTTTGATTGTAATGGTGTGTGGTTTGTGGTTTGTGAGAGTTGGGGAAAAGGCTGTCATTACAGCCTGATGAAAATCACATAGGCGCCAATTTTAGTGTACCCCAGATACTGTAAGGCTGAACACTGATAGGATCGCAACTTCATCCATCATGTTGAATTCAATTATGGAAGCTTGATAATGACTTGAGCAATCATACCTTTTAACCCTTCTTACCATTCTTTCGTACTTACGAGCCGGTGATCGTTTCTATACATTATTTACATTATTTTTCTACCATGTCGGTCATTCAAGTGGAAGAGTAAGATTTCTAATTCCCCAACCATCCCACTTCCTTAATCTAACTGACGCGTTACACAGTCTCGTCTCTTATCAATTGAGATCAAATTATTTAAATACAATCGCAGATGGTGTTGGTGAAAGGCTCATAACAATCAACGATGGATTTCTAAACACTCCCGGATTCAAAGCTGCTGGATGGCGCACGAATGCCGCAAATATAAAACGAACTCATTCCCCACCAATACCCACCGCCATCGCATCGGAATATTTCCAAGCACCACCTAGATCAGCTGGTCTGGCACCTTCAGGTCTTGAAGATGAAGTTGATGAAGGAGGTTTGCTCACAGGAGGGGCAGGGGATACTGTTGGGCCTGGAATCGCTACCAAAAGGAGGCGCAGACGAGAACAAATGGAGGAGGAGGACAGTAGTGATTTGAGTGATGATAGTGATGATGATGGAGATCAAAGGGCAGCACAACAAATCAAATTCTCTAAAATGCCCATACGAAATCGTTCTGGTTCTTCTCCTATTCGTGGATCCAATCTTCGACTATCTACTACTGCAAATTCTCCTTCACGAACTCCGGGACCTGGCATAAGAAGAGGTTCTCAGTCTGCTGTGGAAGTTGTAAAGGAAAGAGCCAGAAGGGATACTGTTACGAGTAGTGAAATGTCATCTGATAATGAGTTTGATGCATCTGCTTTTCAAAGACAGAGAGAATCAAACAGAAATGCTGCGAGAGCCGGTAGAACGGTTCGAACACGTCCGTCGGACCCAGATGTGGGCGTGAAGAGACAAGTCAGTGATCTTTTAGAAGAGGAAGAGGAAGAAGAAGACTCGGGATCAGATATGTCTTCCACATTCGGTGGTAGTATCGACAGTGCATCTATATTAGATAGTGTTGATGGACCGATAACTGCAGCCCCAGAACATATCGGTAATACCATACCTCGAGATCTTATACGATCACCAACGAAAAGATCCAAGCCAGCCCCTCCAGTACTTCAAGCCCTACCACCTCCTCGTCCAATTAGTATGATACAACCTAAGAGTTTGTTGACCGCAATGATTACGGCTAAGCGAACGAAAGCTAATATGCCATTCGAAAATTTTGCATCTCTCTCTGGACAAGGTGATCCAAATCCTATCAATATTCGTATATTGGCGCCATTTGCTACTTCAACAAAGAAGCCCTATGAGGTTTTGATTCGAAGAACTGTTCATGAAGATGAATCACATAATCGACCAGTGGTCATTACTGATTTGATCGGGTTGAGTCTATGGAGGTACTTTGAGGAAAAATTAGAACCTACCATAGCCCCTGAGAAATTGAATGTCAATCGATGGATCTTAAGGATGGTCGATGATGGGGAAGTGGACACTGATTTCCCACCTCTTGATCGTCTCAAGCCAGTTACATCATTTACGTTTGCCAACAATAAAGCTGGACCAAGAGCGAGATCAAACTCCAAAACTTTTGACGAGTTTGCTTTGGTTGAGGCTACCGATGAACAGTTTGAAGAGAACCAGAGGCTTACTCCTCAATTCAAGCAAGAGGCGGTTGCCTCATCTGAAACGGAAGAAGATTTTACTCCTATCAATACACCCAAAGCTAATACTTCATTTCCTCTTGGTACACAACCTTATCAAAATCCTCTTCTTACAACCATGACTGCATTACGAAAGAATTCTACATTGGCAGATGCACCTACAATTGGAACAGCTCTTGCTCAACCTACTTCGCGAGGTGGTGGTACCAAAAAGATCTTGAGCATTCACATTCATTCAATTAATGCTACACCTGGACAAATGGTCGCTCTGGAAGTCACAACCGATACTTACTTGGCTGATGTCCTCGATACGGTTTGTAAGAAGAGACAACTGGACAAAGCAGGACACGTTCTCAAACTTACCGGATCTGGGACTGTCGTTTATCTTGATCGCACAGTAGGATCAATTGGCAATTCATCAGAACTAGATTTGTATCGGCGACGTTTTGCTACGGATGGACCATTGACGATGACTGGTTCACCATCAAGTAGTACACCCAATTCATTAATGGTAGATCGACCCGATCCTCGCAAAGCTCGCAAGGGAACTCAAATGTTAGTACCACATCCTCTTATGGAGAGTGTCAAACAGGATGAACTTGGAAGTGCCAACTATCGAAGGTATATAGTATGGAGAAAACAACCAATGAGGTTTGTAGGAATGAACGAAAGGGTGATTGCGATTGATGGCGAATATCTACATATTCTTCCAGCATCCACAGGAAAGACGATGTTTGAAGGACAAGGCAAAACAACCACGGTGCATTTTAGTAATGTGGTTGGTTGTAAAGTGACACGAAGACACCCGACCAACTTTAAGGTATGTTATACAGAACCCAGCATCTCTGCCCTCAAATCCAAAAGTAATGAATAATGACAATACAGCTTGTGGTGTACAAATCACGGGAAGAAAAACGATATGATTTTGAAGCCAAGAGTGCAGATGAAGCGGCGGAGATAGTATATGAGATTAAGAAGGGAATTGCTCCATATCAAACCAATAATTGAATGAACATTATCTACACTAGACCTAAATAGTCTGCCTCCACGGCAGTGGCTCCCAGAGGGCCAGCGGAGCGTCATTTGCAATTCTCTCACGGGACATTCATTCCACACTAGAATTTTCTCTGATTGAAACGTTTTCAAACCGCCAAAGCGTTTGGTGGCGATGAATTCTTAAGTAGTGTAAGAAGAGTCTTTACGATAATTGGGTACAATGGGAGAATGGATGTTCATGGAAAATTTCTTGGATCATCGTACTAGGTACCTACGTTCCCCGATTTGATCTTTGAAGAAAGGAGTTGGTTGCATTAGGTATCGGGTATCGGGTATCAGGCGGTTACTTGTTAGGTAGATCATTCATTATCAAGACGCAGGGCGGGTAGGTGGCGATGGATTGTTTGTATGTATGTATGTATGTATGTATGTATGTATATATGTATGTATCTCCAGCAATAATCCAGTTGCCGAGGATCTGACGGATTAGGAAGGAATACCTAGTATATATACGTAGTATGTATAACTTGATTTTAATAACTAAGATTGTGATGGCAGGGTAGGATGAAGAGAGCGGGATGTTAGATGTTAGATGTTAGATGTTAGGAATGAATGGATGAGTGGATGAGTGGATGTTAGATATTCTTTTTAATATTCAATGTCAAAATCATAGGTGGATTATTAGGATCTTTGAATTCATATAGGTATATATCGTATAAGCAAAGCTATTGTAAGTAGTAAGTAATAGGTAGGTAGTATATTTTTCTTTTCTCAAAGGCTTTGCTCGAGTGACCTCAGGAGTCCACGTCCCTCGTGTTCCTATTCTACGTGAATCGAGGTAGTCCACCGTGGGTGCAGGTGGCGTTGGAGATTCGCGGCTGTGGCTGTGGATGTGGCTGTAGCTTGGCCAAGGCTTGGAGCTTGCAGGTGGGGCTGGAAAGGTGGAAAGGAAAGGACGGCTAAATGGATCTTTGATTGCCGACCTTGATGATGTTGATGTTGATGCCAATGCCAATGTTGATGTTAAAGTTGATGTTCTCAAGAAAATAAAGTTGGAATTTTGAGGATTCCATGATTTTTACCGGGGTACTATTATCATATCCTGTTCTGTCCTGTCAAATCAGATCAGATCAGATCAGATCAGATCAGGTCCTGAAGGGGGGTGATTAATCCGAGATTGAATCATAATGATAATGATAATTTTCGTAATTTTCGTAATTTTCGTAATTTTCGTAATTTTCGTAATTTTCGTAATTTTCGTAATTTTAATTATAAGACGAACAATGAATAATAAATAATAAATAATAAACAATGAATACCATAATACAAAAAAGGTACGAAGAATTACCTAGTATGATGACGCCATGGTGGTGGATGAGTGAATGAGTGAATGGATAATGCGGCTGGGCGCGAGCGAGCGGGAGTTGTGATTTTGTGTTGGATGAATCAGTGTTGGGCGAATGAGAGGAGAGGTGGAGGTGGGTGTTGGAAGAAGGTAAGAAGATATCTGGAGCCTCTGAGTCTGCGCAATATGTTACATAAGCCGTGGGTGGGATTTTACAGTAACCGTTTTGGGATATCTACGATGGCGCCAATTAGAAGTGGAAGCGGAAGTGGAAGCAGAAGCAGAAGGTTTGGTTTGGTTTGGTTTGATTTTAGCTTTACGATAGGTGGAGTTTGAGTCGGGTACTTACGATGTACGGAGTACGGAGTACGGGTAGGAGGTTTTAGTCTGGGCTGTGGCTGTGGCTGGGAGGGAAGGGAAGGATGGGAAAGGGAAGGGATGGGAAGGGAAGCTAGGGTATGGATGGATATAAATGCCAAGTGCGGGGATCGGGGATCGCGGTTGGATGGGCTGGACTGGACTGGGATTGGGATTGGGATTGGGATTGGGGGGAGGAGGGAAGGTTTAGTATTTCAAAGTTTAAGTTTAAGTTGACTTTGGGTGTTTGGGTGTTTGTTTGGTTGGGGTTGGGGTTGGGGTAATGGTTATTTTTGATTTGATTTGATTTGATTTGATTTGATTTGATTTGATTTGATTTGATTTGATTTGATTTGATTTGATTTGAAGGAGGTGGATATACTAGTAGGATTAGGTAGGATTGAAGATGTGGATTTTTCTTGTTCTGCTCTGCTTTACGCGGGCATGATGGATTGATTTTGAGAGAAGACTGATGTAAAAGAGGTGATTTGATTTGATATGATATAATATAATATAATATAATTCGATATCGTACAATATTCCCACGCAAACAAGGCACACGTGCAGCTCACCAGTGACCACCATTCCTTACCTTACCTACCTAGGTACCTTCACACTCCGCCAAGAAATGATGTGCAGTAGGGATGAGATGTTGTTACATAAAATGAGAGGACATGCTGGGGTGTGATTTGTTGATATCTCCGGGGCGGGAGTGTGGATGCTTGGGAATTCGGTATTGCGGCAGCGTGCCGAGCTTTGGTTGTTTGGTTGCTTGCGAAGTGAAGTACGAATTGAGGATGGGTTGGATGGGTTGGATGTGATGGGTTGCATAATAAGTATATGTGTGTGTATGTGTTTAGAGTATGTGTTTAGATGGATGGATAGATAGCTAGGAAGGTATTTCTCGGACTTTTTACTGACAGTTTAGATTTTATGGAATGGAATGAAATGAACGAAAAAAAACTAATTTATGCTCAGATGTCTAGATTTCTAGATGTCTAGATGTTCCAGATATAGAATAGAATAGAATAGCCAGTTATAAACACCAGTCAATTGTCTAGACTGTATACTTCATATATATACCTACCTATTTAACTAGTATACATACTTAGTATACACATCAACTAACCTCGTACCATCGGACTCCCCGACCCTTTGTCTCTAGCACATACTCGTTCGTACATGGTAACTAGGAAATTGAAAGCGAGACACGTTCGATACCTAGGTAGGTCCTCCATCCAGATTCAAGCATGAGAGATGGCAAATTGCTTTTCTCGATTCTCGTAAACATCGGATTTCGGTGGTTGGGGGGTGATGGCCTGGGGTTTACCTAATACCTACCTATATGTGCGCTGGGTTGTTATATTATATTATTATTGTATGTTGTGATATGTGATATGTGATATGTGTGATATGTGATATGTGTGATATGATCTGACAATGAATGTCAGAGGAATTGGACCAAGCGGGTTGTCTCAGTGATTTCATCATATTTGTCGGGTTGGAGTCTGGACTGGACTGTCTATTGGAAACATCTATGCTGTCATAACACGTGAATAGTGGATGATGATGGGATGGGTAGGGAGGCGTTCCTTTGTATCGATGTTTTGTTTGTTTTGTTTTGTTTTGTTTTGTTTTCACTGCAGGAACAACGTTGCTTAGATAGATAGGTATGTATGTATGTATGTAGGTATGTACCTAGGTATGTTATGTTTTGTAGATATGCATCCAATTGTCAACACTCAATTTCCTATTTTGTATGGTGTAGTATAGCAGGTACATATGCTCGTGCTCAGATAGTACTCAGACCGGTAAACTACTATTGTATACTACGCTCTCCGTCTCTACAAACCCAAATAGCTTTTCTACTAAATCACGCTATGGTCTTGGGAGGATTGCGTGGTAAAGTATAACTACCTAGGTACGCGGAGGTATCTTTACGCGCTCTCTCCAAGTAAATAGTATCTACCTAGATAGAGAGTATCGTAGTTATAACAAATAAGAATTGGAACAGCGTGCTTTGATTATATAAACTATGGGCTATGCAAATTTTATGCAACTTATCCTCGAATTATACTCAAATTATACTAGCTTCACATCTCAACTTCAACCAACGTAGGAGCATACAGGTACCAACAGAACAAAGCGAACAAACGGAAGTGTTCAACGAAAACTTTCATGCCTCACTCAATCTTTACCTTTACTCTACCTACCTAGGTATTTCTACTGCTTTTACCTTCTTTCACCTCTGCCTCTGCCTTTGTCTTTGTCTTGCCTTGCCTTGCCTTGCCCTTTGCCTTTGCCATGAAACTAGGAGATGAGTAAATCCCCACTAAAATTAGTCTGGCACGGCAATGACGTGAATGTTAAATCATACCTAGCACGTACCTAATTCCTTTTCCATGGAATTCCACAAACCAATCAACCATCATACAAAACGTCAAGAAAGCTGGAAAAGTGGATCGTCCTCAGCCACTTATTAACTTGGAAGTAATGATGAGGCTAGTATGACCTAGTGGAGGTGCCTTCCTACCTAGGTAGAAGACCTTGGTATACATGGAAAGCTCGTTTTGTGCTGTTGGTGGGAGAGCTATATAAGAATTCGGCTTCCGGTTTGTTGATCGATCTTTTCTTCTTCTTCTTCTCTACATCTAAACTCTTACACTCTCACCACTTTTCACTCAACTCGATACCCAAAAAGTCTTTTATTACTTTCTTCATTACATACCCAATACTTCTTCAACACAAACAAGTTTAATACAATCAACCGCAAATATGCAATTCAAGAACATTGTCGTTTTGGCTTTGGCCGGTGCTGTTATGGTATGTTTTACTTCCATCTTGGGGATATCGATCGACAGATTGATACATCACATCGACAATATACACTTGTATCAAGATACTAACATGATATCTTAGGGCCAATCCTCTGTTGAATCCATCCTCTCAGATGCGACCGCCAGTGCTGGAACTCTTCTCAGCTCGGCCACTGATTCCGCATCAAGTGCAGCCATGACATCTGCCTCTTCCGCCTCTTCCGCTTCAGAGTCCTCTGCTTCCCTCGCATCTGGTCTCTCATCTACCCTCTCTTCCGTCTCATCTTCTCTCTCTTCCGTTGTCTCCTCTGCCGAATCTTCCATCAACTCTGCTCAAGCTTCAGCTGAATCTTCTCTCTCGGCCGCTCAATCTTCCGCAGCAACTCTTACCGGCTCGGCCGCTTCCTCTGCTTCATCTTCTCTCGCATCTGTCTCCAGCTCTCTTGCATCCAGCTTGAGCTCTAAGACTTCCTCTTTGTCCTCTTCTGCCAGTAGCCGTGCTACTTCTGCTGGTTCAGTTGTTACCACCACCAACTCTGCTGGTGAAACTGTCACCTCTACTTCCACTGCTGGAGCTGCTATCCAAACTGGTGCTATGGGAGCCGCTGCTCTCTTTGGTGGTGCCGCCATCTTTGCTGCTGCTTTGTAAATGAGTGAACGGATGGATTGATTGATTTCTTTCTTCACTTCGCTTTACAACATAAAAGGAGCTTGCTTATTGATTGACATGGGATTTCTAATTCATTGATGGAAATACTATTGGGGTGATGGATTCAATGGTTTAACTGATGATAGTAATGATGATGGTTAGGGGAATAGGTATCGCAAATGGGCGCTGTACTTAGTAACATTGCATTTCATTGCTTTGGGAAATAAAACTATTACATGAACATATATAACTTGTCTATTTGCTTTGTGAATTTGTCTTTGATTTATGTTTTATTACTGACGGTCTACCTTGAATCCTTCCTGAATGCTCTTTACGTTTGAATGCTCCTGTGTGCTCTTTGCGTTCTTGATTGATACCCAACTTTATTTCAATCCAACTAAACATCTACGAAAACATGAACACATGAACGTAAGAATCCTCTACTAGGTACACACATGATAGATATTTCTCGGCATGATGTCATGTGTACTATCTATCACCCATCATCATTCACTTCAAATCTAATATATACCTAGGTAGACAGGCAGGTAGGTAGGTAGGTAGCTATTCGGTTCACGTTTATATTTACGTTCACATGTACATGCAGATTCACCTTCTCAAAACAAAACCCAACCCAAGAAAGCAAGTAAGCAAGCAAGCAAGCAAGCAATCAGGCCTAGCTGGAGGGAGGTATTTACTTATTTTTCTTTTTGTTTATTGGGTTTAAGGAGGATGATGGTAGGGATGATGGGGATGGTGAGAAGGATGAGGAGGATGAGGATGGTGAGGATAGTGAGGATAGTAAGAATGATGAGGATAGTGAGGAGGATGAGGATGGTGAGGATGGTGAGGATGGTGAGGATGGTGAGGATGGTGAGGATGGTGAGGATGGTGAGGATGGTGAGGATGGTGAGGATAGTAAGGATAATAAGAATGATAAGGATGATGAGGATAGTAAGGATAGTGAGAATAGTGAGAATAATGAGAATAATGAGAATAATGAGAATAATGAGAATAATGAGAATAATGAGAATAATGAGAATAATGAGAATAATAGAAATAATAAGGATAATGAGAATAATGAGGTTGATAGGGATAATGATATCAAAAGTGGAAAAGTAAGGTTTGAGTTTGTGATGGGGGTATGGGAAAGGGAGAGGGAGAGGGAGATGAGTATATAGATAAATAGATACCTAGTAGATAGGTGGGTAGGAGGGTGAATGAGTAGGTGAGTGAATGAGTGAGTATTGAAATATTAAAGTGTTATGTTTGATATTTGACTATTTAAATGTTTGAATTTTTGAATTTTTGAATTTTTAAATTTTTAAATTTTTAAAATTTTTTGATAATTGAATAATAATTATAGATAATAGATAATAGATTTAAGTAGAATATTGAGGATTTTTAGGATGTAGGGATTTGGAATTTAGAGAGAGAGAGAAAGGATTCATTAGGGATTTGGAGATTTGAAGATTTTAAGATTTAAGAATTTAAGAATTTAAGAAGAGACGAGAGAAGAGAGAAGAAGAAGAGAGAAGAGAAAGAGAAAAGAGAGACAGAGAGAGAGAGAAGAAAGAAGAAAGAAAAAAGAAAGAGAAAAGAAAAAAGAGAGAAAATAGAAAGAAAAAAGAGAAAAGAGAACAAGAAAGAGAACAAAGAAAAAAGAAAAGAGAGCAAAGAAAAAAGAAGAGAGAAAAAAAAAAGAGAAAAAAAATGAGAAAAAAAAGAGAAAAAAAAGAGAAAAAAAAAGAGAAAAAAGAAGAGAAAAAAGAGAAAAAAAAAAAGAAAAAAAAAAGAGAGAAAAGAGAAGGAGAAGAGAAAAGAGAAAAGAGAAAAGAAAAAGGATAAAGTTGAGAGATGAGATAAAAGAAATAAAATAAATAAAATAGATTAATGAAAAGAAAAGAAATCTTTAGAGGATTTGTTTTGAATGAGAGAAGAGGAGAGGAATGAGGAGAGGGAAAGGGAGAGGGAGAGGGAGATAGATAAATAGATAGATAGTAAGTAAGTAGGAGGGGAAGTGGGTAGAAGAGTAAGTGAGTAGATGAGTAAGTGAGTAGATGAGAAGTGAGTAAATAGATAGATGAATAGGTATTTGAAGATGAGAATGAGAATTAAAAAGCATAGAAGTAAAATAAAGAAAGAATAAGAAGAGCCTGAAGAGAAAATAATTCGGATTACGATGTAGTGATTTATATGAGTCTTTCTTTTTATTCTTATTATTTTAGTGGTCTTATTTATTTATTTTATTTATTTATTTATTTTTTTTGATTATTTCTTTATTATTTATATTTTTATTATTATTTATCTTTTATTTATTTATTTATTTATTATTCTTTATTATTTTTTATTTTCTCTTCTCTCTTCTCTCTCTTTCTCGCTATCTCTCTCTTCTTTACTAAATAAAAATAAATAAAGATAGATTTTTTTATAATAGAGAATTTCCGAGAGAGGCGAAGAGGTGGGGGACGGGGTGTTTTTATATATATATTATATATCTGTAATACAAGTCAAATCAAATATAGCTATTAATAAGTAAAGGGGGATTCAAAAGATAATGTATAAATTAAGAAATTGAGAGATTGAAATCTAAAGGTTCTGAGTATAAAGGTGAAGATGGAATGTTATTAATGCTATGATTAGGTACTCGTAGATAATAAGATATAAATATCTATCTATGAATACCTATCTAGATATAGATGGATAGGGGCAAGCCCCCAAACCCCCGTAGCTCGCTGCGCTCGAAGGGAGGGGGAAGAGGAAAAGAAGATGATAGGGAATAGGGAGGGAGAGGAGTGATGAATATGATTATGATTATGATTATGATTATAATAAAGAAGCGATTTTGACTTTAACCCCAACTAGGTAGTGAATAGTGAGATGAGATGAGATGAGTATACAGATTCCCCAGATCGGGTATTCAAAACGATACTTATTACTTCAAGTGAATAAAGCGTCTAGAAAGGGAGGATTCGCGAAGCGAGGTAGGTAGGTACCTAGTTGGAGATAAAGTCGTTTGAGTACTTGATGGCTCATGATACTTGGGATACTTGAGCTTCCTTGTTCATTCGTAAAGACAATATTACGAGTATCGGATTCGAATATAGATTTGAATTTGGGGGAAGATTGAGGGGCAGGGATGGGAGAGTGAATGGAGATATATATATAAGTCTTACATTGAGTATCTTTTCTTAGAACATATTAGTATGCTAAGGCGTTTCTTTTCCTTAAGCGAATAAGACAAAATAAATCACTGTTTCCATCGTACCGATTCGATCATTCATTCATACGAAAGATAGATGGATAGATGGACAAATACTTTGTAACCCCAAAGAAATAACCAGGAACAACTACCTAGGTACTAATTATACAATATCATACCAGCATTCCCCTCATTATTCATTCTTTTTCCTCAGTCCGTAAACCATTCACATGTACATACTATATATATATCACGTATCTCAATCCCATTCCTCACTCATCAACCTCAAACTCAAACTCCCGGTCTTGAAAAGGAGTATGTAGATGTACATTCGCTTTCCATTTAGTTCCTTATACTTTGAGTATTATTCACGAGAATTTGTTACACGAAGTCGCGATGTTGAAGCGGGTGCTTGTCTGCTTGCTTGCTAGCTTGCTAGCTCGAGTGATGTGATAGAATTGATGAATTCGTTGTATTTCGGATGAATATACATTCATATTTCCGTTCCTGTTTCTGGGCTCCTCCTACATTGCTGGAATCTGAATAAGCGTTTGGCCTATGTCTCTTTGAGGTGAAATAGCCGAAATTCCCAGATCGGGTTGATCTGAGGCTACTTCCTGGATAATGGGATCTTACCGACGGGTGTACAACTTTAACTCGATGATTCCTACATCGCTGAAATCGACTTTAGCGAAGTATTAAATCAGACCGATTACTCTCTGATAATCTGCAAGTTCGGCAAGAGCTTATAGCATATAGTAAGATCCTCTTCTTATATGTATCCATGAGGACGGCCCAAGCGAGTCTTAGTATACTTGGAGGTCTTTGGATAATAGGGAAGTTCTTTTACGTTATAATGGTAGGCTGATGATACACCGGATCTTTGAAAATGTATTGTAAAAGTAAGAAAGCTGGCATCGCACACGCATCCGGACTCCCCTATTTCTGCGATCTTGATAGTCTTTCTCGGTTAATAGCGTTTCTCTGCGCCAGAGAATATAATGACTGTAATAGGAATACTTTAATGGGTTTTGATAGGCAAGACAACCGCTCTCAATTGTCTTTGAACAATACTTCTGTCTAATTCGGCATAAATCTCAAATTGATCTTCGCCGTAATTAATAACTACAAGATCTCCTCTTTGGAACATGAAGAGATTAGATTTCATCACCGCAGAGTTTTTAAGTCAGATCACTCAACGACTTGAGGAAAATTCTCTATCTAGGAAGTACAATCATACACATCTGAGTGATCACTTATTTCTGAGACTTCTAGCAACTATTTAAATAGTTATGGGGGATCGGTTACATGTCCAAACCACGTATTATTCTCTATTATTCAAATGGGACAAATTCATTGAGAATGTTGCATCAATCTCTTCACTCGATGTGTAGGAGGTTCATTATAGAATCTAACAATGATTTTATGAAGAAAGGGAACAGCATTAAGATGCCTATCGACCTGCGAGCAGATCTCTTACATAAATAGCAAAGTCTCAAAATCCTAGCTCACTTTGGCCAAAACTGATATAATTATAACTATACACAAATACCTCCGCATTATCAACTCGGTGCACATACCTCCACGAAGCCTAGAACTACGCATACCATCTCCCATGAGTACTCCTCCTCCTGCCAGATTTTTCACATTCTCTACAACCAAAAGATTAATGCATATAGGTGATAGATAACTTGACAACCGTATCTCTAATTGAATAATGCAAATAGTAGATCTGGAAACAAGTCTCTGAAATTAGATATATCAGATCGCTCTAAGCAGGATTAATTACAATCGTATAATAATATAGAAACTATAACGATCCAATAATTATAGAATACAGCAAAAGCTTGATAGTGCAACTCTTCTAGTGCACCTCTTCATAATCCACATATAAGTATAGATACGAAACTCTCAACAAAGCAATTCGTTTTCAGAACTACCATGTTTTCCGCTGTGTATCATTCATTGTACACTATCATCGTCATCGTCATCGTCGTCAATAAGGATGCACAAGCGCGCTATGTTTTTTAGCCCCTATCGAAAAGAAGAAAATAAAGACTAAGCTAGAGGGGCTGAAACCTACTCCAATCACAGAGATAGGATGAATATTTCTAAGATATGTTTATCAATTGTGAGGAAAGTACTGGTAGCATCTATCATGTTTTTCGATCGAAATCTCAGTTGCTCCGAGAGAGAGAGAGAGAGAGAGAGAGAGAGAGAGAGAGAGAGAGAGAGTAGTCACTCTGTTCTACGTCTTCTGAAGTTCACAATATCTGATGTGAAGAAAGAAACGGGATTTAGCGAATCTCACTTGATCTCACCGTGCCTATATACCTATATATATGTATATAAACTTTCCATTTCTAAAGAATTGATAGAAATGATAATCAAATACCAAAAAAAAAGTCTTGTCATGACCATTTGAACGAAGACATCTCACCTCGACACAACCTACTTTACAAATGCAAAGCCACTCTACCTGTCTAGATAGGTAAATACCTAGGTATGTACTCGTATATTCAGGAATACCTACTCGAGTACAACGCCCGAATAACCTTAGATCAGCCCTATCATACCCCACAATCCCCCCCTCCCCCCCAACACACACTAGCATCTTGAACTTAGTTCCAACGCTACAAGAATAGCTCTAGCTCTAGCTCTACCTAGATATTCTTCACTCTTGCAGCTTCCATTCTCCAAATGAACTTCCCCACAAGCTAGACAGCCAAAACTCAGTACATGACAAAATACTGTATTTTGTAGAATTTTGATTTCTACCATGGCCATCGACGCTATTGAATATTGTATCGTACGGACATATCCACTTTACAATCTATACTTTTCTCCGACAAGAGAGGAATATATTCTTACGCATATGATGTCTCCCATCTCAACTTTACCTCGATAAAGAGAGACGCCAGGGGATTATTACACTCGCAATAGTCGTAGCCTCATCTTCCCTCCTTTTCCCTATCATTT